TATATTATGAATGCATGTGTTACCACTTATCAGTTATCACTAATCAAACATAAAATAAATTTAAATAATAGACAACATCTAGGACAGTTAGGACTTTAGGATACAATAAAAACAAAAGTAACAATTTGAAAAATTGTTTCAACTATTGTTATAATATATTAGGTACTTACCAACCACGGCTGGGTCAACCAATTAGATTACAAAAAACTGATGGAGTCAAATAAATAACCACAAGAACCAAACTTAAACTATAATCAATCTTAAAAATACCCCGATCGGAACAAGTAAGGTCGATGGACCAGGTTCTGGTTAGTGGTCAATCGATTTTAGAAAAGACCTGGATAAGAACAACACAATTTAAAGTAGTATAATATCGTACAACATATTAAAAAAAAATTTAATCATTTAACTGTTGGAATTAAATAATAAGCACATATAAAAAAAAAAAGATAACTGTGAGAGGATTGGTATAGCACTAATATTATGTACGCTGTTTATTTAGTAAGCTCATATTTTTGTTTAATTTTGAAGAAAAAAAATAGTTAAATTTTACTTAAATTATTTTAGTTTCTGAGTAGAGTAATGAATGTATTGATTTTACAGTGATGTTTAATTTTTTTTTTGTGTCTTTCATTACCTTTTGGGACAGTAGAAATGCTTCGATTTTCTCCTATAGCATTTTTTCTGGTAGGAAAGTGAATCTAGTTGGTATTTTTTTGTTTTTTTTTTTTTGGGGGGGGGGGGGGGTCAAATGTAATCTCCAATAGTTTTCATAAGGCACAGGAATAACAAATAAACAACTATGGAAAAACTGGAATTTTTATGCAAAATTGGTTTTTGACAAAATCGATTTTGGTTTTTGGTGCAACTCTAAAAAAAAATACCGTAGATACATAAAATAATCACTGAAATAAAAAGCTTCCATCGGAAAACAATATATTCAATAAACCAGAAACTTTAGCCTATGATCCAAAAATAAATTATTCATAAACAAGTATAGGCCAGAAATGTATGGCTTATTTAGGACCTAATGAGTTATATACCATATCATATATGAATTCCTTGAACCTTAACGATAAAAAATGTATAAGAACTAATTCTACAACTAATGTAAATAAGTATCTAAATAAATAATTATTATGTGAACAACCAGCCATTTATATTTATATATATATGTTTTTCTTATGATTTAGATATCGTTCGTTTGTTTTTATGTTTTTATGTTTGTATTTATAATTAATAGTATTCTTCTTTATTCTTCTTCTTATTTCTTTATAATTCTGTTTTATTGTCGATTTATTGAAATTATATTATGCATCTATTTTAGTACACATAAAGTTGTAAATATAATTTTTCGAAAACGTTGTAAAATAAAATAATTTCAATTATGTAAAAAAATACGGTGTTCGGTCTGCAGTATTCACACACACACACACACACACACACACACACACACACACACACTCGCGCGCGCGTGTTTCTTCGTTTCCTGTGTGACCCACATAATATGGAACAGTTGAATGTACCAATATTGTATAATATAAATTGTGTTGAGCGTTTATTATTATTATTATGGGTAGGTAGTGACTAGTGAGTATAATACTATAATGACATTATATTAATATATTAAAATATTCTATCGGCGCTCAAACTCACAAACGCGTGCGCGCGACACGTCATGAATGACATTGATAAAATATCATAATATTATACTGTATATTACCTATATTGTATTGTCGAATACTATATAATTATACACTTATTATTTGTACAGACGTTTAAAGAGACATTTTAGTATGCCATTCGCGTGCCATCCCCGAATACGCGTTTAGATAATATATCTACGGCATAGTTATAATATTATTATCCAACTATAATAGCGGTACTTGTACTAGGTTTGAAAGTAGTTATATTATTATTGTTATTATTGTTAATATACGCATAAATAAAAATTATGAAAATGCTCAAGTCGGCAGGTAACCCGACAAATCGTTATGATGATAATAATAAATAGGTACTTATTAAGTAATAACTGAATAATGTCTAATTGGCTAGGTATATTAATATAGGGATTACTAATTGTTATACGCAGTTGTTGAGTGGCTAAATGGCGTCAAGGCTATATTTATTACTCCTATCCAAAAATTGTACAGGGTGACCAATATTTTAACATTTCAACGGATAGTAAATAATTATGATCATTGGTAGGTATTTAATATTTTATTATAATTTATGTTTAATTGCCAATGATTATTCTTGCTCTGCCCATATTTTTTTTACTTTAATAAGACCTCTCATCTATGCAGAATATTGTTCTATTATTCAAATAATTTCGGATTCTTATTATTTCTTTTTTTTACTACTAGGTATTTTAAAAGTCCTAAAACTAGAAAATAAATTGATTTATATTGTTAAATAAACACAGTTATTAGGTCTCAAACATATTAGTACAAACAGACTAAATCTAATTCACGATTTCACTGCGGGACCATAGTTTTGAGTCGAAGGGTACTATAAAATGATTACTTTCATATCATATGTAGAAAATATAATAATAAACTCAAATAGTAAACTGATGAGAAGGATTCTAAGCCGTATAACATATTATAAGCCATTATAAAGCGATTATACAACTATCCTTTCCATATGTTTGTATATGGTAGTAATTATATAGGTAGGCAAGTACGGTATATAGTAACACCAATTGCATTAAAATAAATGGAATTAGAGCGACCAATGTGAAACTTTTGGTTACAATCGACTGTAGAGTTTAAAGTGAATCACCAGAAATGTTGCCAACAATATGACATTGTTTCCAGAAGTATATAAACTATAAATTGTTTTTTTCACAAATTTCAATTTCATATATAAGATAACCGGCAATCATATTACTGCGGTTGTAGTTTATAGGTGTATTCGTTTATGAAGTAGAAAATCGTTTTACATAAACCCAATGTTAATGAAAACATTAAACACTTTTATTTTATGAATTATTGCGACACATTGACAGTATTCGGTAGTCGGTATAACTAGGGGCATATGTTTCCTGATAATTTTTCTTCAAATAAAACCTGCATTGGATTGCACAACAATTATTTTTAATTTAATAATATAGCATTACAATTTTAGTATTATTCTCAAGTCAATGGTATAGTATGATTAGTTTAATATACTGATAGCTTTTACTATCAAATATATAGTAATTACCTAAGAAAACTTAAGTACTAAGAGGTACAATACCTTATATGCAGCGGTACCGACGGACCGTCCACTATTCGTAGTTAGGACTATATCGGTAGATCACGAGTAGCCTGGGATTATGCCGAAAATAATAATTTTAAAAAACATTCAGGTCTTTATGTAAGAGTTTTTCCATTCACATGCATGGTTTACATCAGTGGCGGAACGACTCTCCCCTCCCCCCCCCCCCGTTCCCGAAGCACTGTAGTTGCTCTATGTTCTAGCCCGTGTTTCTATTGTAGTGCAGTAGTGGATGTCTGAAGTATTGATATGCCCTACAATGTTTTGTACTTTTACCAGGGAAAATTAAACATTTAAACACTGCAGGATCCCATACTGATGTACCTATATACCTAGGTATTGGTATAATTCTGAATTCAAACACGTAAATTATCTGTAATAAAAATGAGATTTTCAAGTTTTAAATACATACATTGCATATGGACACACTCTATATTGACTACCCAGACTCGCATCAATATTTCACGTTGTGATATATTGGAGTACGAAAACCGGGACCGTGAGTTGATCCGAAATTTGCACTGCACGACTAAATTCACACGACCGATCGAGATTTTGGTTCAAGTCGTTCGTGGGAAAAACATTTTGAAGGTCAATCGGGCATTCATGTGAAAATGTGTTATATTTTTAAACCTGAAACTATGAAATCGATTTTTGGTTATCATTCGAAAAAAATCATTCCGAGCATAAACCGTGCATGCTAATAGGATTGCAATGATAATTTCTTTTTGAATTCTCATTTTATAATACCTTGTTGGAGTGTAAGCTGCAAATCGCAAATACACCATTAGTAGTTGATAGATTAAAATACACTACACACCTACGCCTTAAAAATATTTCGTTTTATTTATTAGCGACATTCCGAGAAGTATATTAAAAAAAGTTCATACCATTCAGTGCATTTACTATTATATTAACTATTGTAGACCATTATTTGCGTTCTCGTTCTGTCCAATAAGTCCAATAGCAATTTTTCTTGTTAAATAATAATAAAATATATTTACATTGACATAAATAATGATTTTTGTTCATATCTAATGCATTTAAGCCAAAAACCATAACCATGTCTGGTTAAAATTCAGGAATGATAAAAAATAAGTATACATACAACATACGTTATAGTTATTTAGGTGCATGGCACGATCGCCCGACACGATTAATTATGTGAGTTATACCTAATTAATGCCTGCCTTTGTTGTTATAGAACCTTATTTAAATGTATGTATAGTTAAAACTGTTTTTTTTATTATTAAAATAATTAACACAGATATTGTCGCATTTCTAAGTTAAAACTTAAATACAATTTCTATAAATGTCATAAATTTGTATCTATATTAAAAAAGGCAATGTTTGTGTGCGTGTGTGTATGCATGTAAAGATCCATGTTCAAGTCTACTGCACTCATGGTTCTACAATTTGGTACATAGGTGATAAGTAATCTTACACCCGAAGATATGCAGTATATACAATGCACACGGATGAAAATTTTTAAAGATGGGCTCCCGTAGGGATTATTGTCTTTTCACGAAAAATGAATAATTTTTTTGTATGTACGGAGCTGCTAATGTCTATTGTTACATCAAATAAAATTGTTACTACATAATTATTAAACTGTACATATAATTTTAGACCTGTAGTTTATATTTGATCTAATCCACCCAAATTATATTATGTTAAAAATATGTGTGGCTTACAATTAATGGAGTTTAAGCCAGGGTAAATCCAATGAAATTATTTAATTTTTCAAGTGCAGGATCAGCTAGTGCATTTTAATCATGGCATTATTATATTTAAAAGAAAACATATCAGTATATTATTCATTAGGTACCACTCTCGGTATTTACTATTAATACATATATTACATATATTATTTGATTAACTAGGTAAAGCAATTTTGAGTGTACAATTTGTAAATATAGTATTCATGATTAATAGATTTTTTTATATTAAACTCTTCTGGTGAAAGTGTAGCAACTGAAATATCATCGGTTTCTTCATTAGTCCAGAAATGTTCAAAATTCAATACAACTGTGAACCTAAAAATGATTAAATTGACTTGATTAATAAAAAAATAATTACTAGAAATCCCAAAAATAACAAAGCCTAACCGTAACCTTTTGTTTGCTTACTTTACCTACGTAAAGGTATGTTACGTATTTTTTTACTAAAAATTTGTGCAACGTTTTAAATTCATTATAGTTCCAGAATAGTATATACCTACTTATATACATCATTTTGGACTTGGGCACCTGATATCACCAAAAATTCACTCAAAGACATTAAAATAAGAAAAATGAACCATACCATCTATGTACCTACACCCATTTTAAACTACAAAAAAGAAAAAAATGAATTTCCCCTCAACCATCTTCCATGTTTTTCTTCTCATTACTGTAGCTTGTGCTGAGTATATCTTTACAGACAGTGCGACAGAAAATCGACAAATACCTTATAATAGAATATATTACCTATACGTTATAATTACACTAATTTACTATACATTATTGTGATGATCACACTGCGATGGTAAAATAATATTTTTTAAACTTCTGGTATACAGATAACCGTTTATAGTTTGTTTTCTGTAATATAGCGTATTTATTAAGGGGACGCCACACCCGCATGTGTAACTTACAACTTTTTACAACTTATAAGTGTGTAAAACACCAAATTCACGCTCAGCAGATTCGTTTAATTATGTTGATTTAAAAATTAAAGTGAATCGATCTGTTACGAAATTTGATGGTAAGAACATTATCTGCGGTGTTCTTGTGTTGGTTTTTTTACGATAGTTCAATTTTTAGAAAGTTATGCTTATATAATATACCGTAAATTAAAAATGCTTATAACTCACTTAAAAATTGAAATATCGTAAAAAACCAACATAGGAAAACAGAGGATGTTCTTACCATAGGTTCATAATAGGTTGATTCACTCTAATTTTTAAACGAACAGAATTTAACACGATCTGCTGAGTATAAATTTGGTATGTTACACGTTTGTAAGGCGGAGACAACACATGAGGGTGTGACGTATTCTTAAGAATGTTGGAATTCTTTATTGCCCATGGATACCACCTATGCAACAGATAACAAAAACAAACAAAGCAGAGTTGAGTTCTACTTTTATAGATACCTAATTTTTAATAAGATACAAAGGCAAAAATTCTGTCTTAACCACTTATTAAGGAAAAAAATATACAAATAAATCAGTTTTTGTTTGTAGCTACCATCTGCGTCATCTGAATTTCAAAGTAGAAAGCTAGTAAAAAGTATTAAAAAACACTTTCAAATTTCATATTATAGATGATAGTAACATGATATAAATGTCCATAGGACTCGTCTGGATTTTACGTCAAGCCAAAAAGAAAAATCAAATACTTTAGGTCTCAAACCCTGCTCATAAATTTTAATCTTATCACGTCATATAGATTTATAACGTACTAGAACAAAACACTGTTGGAGCACATTTTTTTTTTTTGAAAATGTATTGTGTATTTTATTCCGGATGGTAATAAGTCTACTACGTTATGTATGTATTTTGTTAGATTACATTTTTATAAAATCGGACATTAATAAATACATTATATGACCCCTGAACTGGTTATCTTTAGACGGTGAACTTGCTTATTTGGTTTAGTTATTTTGTTGAAATATAAATCATAATTAGAGAAAATAAGGAAAAGTGGCCATTTGAGTTTTCTTCGTCATGTAGCGCTGAAATCAAGGCGGATTGATGATTTTAAATTTATTAGTCCACCTTGGCTAAAATAATGCGGGAGACAGGCGTTGTTTTTGCTTTAGGGCATTAACTACTAGTAGCTTTTAGGCCTATAATTGTTGCAAATTATACAATCACTATTATCAGTCACGTTTAACACGTGTTCTCATTCTATAACTATTTTTTTTCTATTTTTCGCCTAGCTGGTTTTATGGAACTAATGCATTAGGGTATTTTTAGTTATTGATAAATAATTATTAGGATTAAATTTATTCAATCTAGTGTCGTTTGATCAGAATCTTCTAAAAGCTTATAAAGTTATAAACAGTGTTTGTTATGCTCGACCGTGTAGATTAGATCCTAGACCATAAACTAAACTAAAGACTGCGGTTTTAAGTTATGATGTATACATTTTAAAGCTACTGAATACGGCATGCGATCAATTTATTGGTCATACTATAGACTTTAAAATAAAACGCAATTAAATTAAATTCTTAAAAAGTACTTTTGTGTAACCTTAAATTCGATTAAGTAATAACTGTTAAATCGATAAAACGTATTTACTTACTTAAATCGTATAGGTCCTTTGAGTGACAATGGAGCTACCCACGTGAAAGTATCTGTTATTTTATATTTGTTATTTGACTGAACCACTGCGTTCTGAAAAAAATAAAATTCCAACCATCATTAACTTATTTGGGTTTAATTAAGATTATTATTATATACACATTAATTATAATTAGGTTACTGCTGGCGATTAGCCTTATATGTAAATACATTACTATTTGTACACGACTTTGTTATTAACTATTTAATATGTTTATACAGTATTGGATTTTGAATAAGTATAATAAATAATAATTTATTATTATTATTATTTAACAGTTCTATAAGCACTATAGAATAGCTACAATTAATAAACAGGTAATAATTAAATAACAATAAATGTCAAACTAAATCGTGCACAATGATATAATAATATATTGTACTGGCAGAATCCATTGATCCTACAGAAGTATAGAATATTATAATTTATAACTTATCATAATACATTTTATGGCAGAGAAAAAATGTATCGACACTTGCTTATAGTTTAATTATAATTTTAACAAATTTGTACTTGAGGTACACTATCGATATATATATTATATTCATGAAAGCGATCAACGAACCATTTCACAAAAAAAACTACCACGATGCGTGAGGGTGGGGTAGGGGACACGCATGCAATTTTCAATAATTAATAGGTATTACAATTATGTGATGGAACAATAATAAAATTATGGTCAAAAAATAATTTGGTGTAAATACGTCAAAAGGTTGAGCGCAGTATAACCAAGAAAAATGTATAAAATATTTTCATTTTAACTGTATAGTATGTATAGGTACCTATATACTAGGTACCTATATACTAGGTATATTATATTTGAGTATAATTCAATTTAATAATGAATTATCACGGTCGTATATAAACATGAGTTTGCATATTTAAATGTAATGTCCATGGAGGACATCATGTTGGAGCATCTGTGTAACAAAACGGAAAACCGTGAGCTTAGGAAGCCTATGACTTGAAAATTAAGTCCTACAATTTCACAATAATTTTCGAATCGTTTTCAAGTTCAAGTGATAAAAAAAAAATCAGAATTCGCTAAGGGCGTGACAAGTTGGATTTAAGCCTATTTTTAAAAACTCCATACCTATTACGAGTATATTCATGGATAGTACCAATATATAGGTACCGTTGCGAAGCATCGAATATCTAAATATCTACGCTATTGCCTTGCTATCAAAGTTCTTTTTAGAGATGTGTCAAATGAACATTTTGAAAAACCCTTAAAAAAAACGACTCACGAGTGATTCGTCTCAGGTGGAGAAGATGATCATATTGTGAAGTTAGGAGCTTGGCAATTTATGGATTTATGCCAATTTAAAAAGAGTCTATAAAAAGTATAAATCGATTGTACCAACAATTAACACTATATTGGAGAAGCATCGAATATCTGCTGTATCGCCTAGCTGTCTCAGTGTAGTGCAGGGATATAGAAATATAATGAGTAATGACGCAGGTAAATGTTTTTAAAAGCCCTCCTAAAATTAAACTGACTTACGTATGGTTCGTCGCCGTTGAAACAGCTGATCATGTGATGTTGTGTCACGTTCCGGCATTCCGGCAGAAACGTGCCGAGCGCTCGGCCGGCGCGGTCCCGCGCCTGCACCATGAACCCCTTGAACGGCATGGTCACGCCGACGGACGTGAGGGTGATGTTCACCAGGTTACCGGGCACCACGGGCGTGGACCGGTCCACTACCAGCCGGTACGGGCACGGAACGCCCTGCATGTTCTCCGGCCGGTAACCCGGGTGCCTGGGCGTCATGTCCGAGCACGCGATCTTCAGCATGTCGTCGGTGACGGCCTCGGCGCCGGGAGCCTGCGCCAGCAGCAGCATCACCATCACCGCCCGCGCGACTACCGCTGCGATTGGCACGGACGTCGTCGTCGCGCCCGAACGATAGGTATCGGCCGCCATCGAGATTACCGCGGTATAACGATGTATAAATGCGATATGATACTATATTACCGTTACCGCGGTTACAGCAGTAGCGGTATACCGCCAATTATTACGTCGTTTTTAGGCACAGATATAATGCAACAGCGATGTCGTCCCCGCACACTGTGGTAACCGGACAGGACGATTTTAGCCGGCACAGTTGCCTAAATCAACCGCGCCTATGCCCTAAGGTAGGTTTTCTGTTCTGTGAGTCGTCCCGAAGCCCGCCGCCTACTTACTGTACAACAAAATGCCGTGCGATCAGATTTTTATTTTATTGTATCTACAAAGAGATAATAATCAATGCTCCTACCAAAATTACATTTTTTCGGTTGTTTTTTTTTGTATAAATAATTTATTACAGTGTGCAATCGGAAGACATAATATGATTTTAAATAAATAGTAATATTCCGAGACCTAAATATCTGAATATATTATTAACAGATAAGTTCATCTAATTTTAATAACACATTTATATTTGGGGCTCTATGACACAACATTTATTACCTATACAAAACCTAATCTTCTAGGACTTAATGTGCCAATTCATTGATGGTTTCATCAAGAATCTACATATATGTCTCGATGAATAGACATCATTGCTATTTGCTAGTCCATTTAAAATACAATTAAAAATACAGTTATGGGGGAAGGTCCGAACCCCACGAACCCCCATCTCGTAAATACGCCTCTGATAACAATATGTAGGCTAAAACTAACTTTTAAAATATATTATATACGTCGATGAGTCGACGATGACAGAATTGTGAAAATAAAATTAATGATTTTCAGCGATTCGTGTATCTATATCAAGCGATAAATTGTATCAAATTAACCCGATAAACTAACAAAAATCTCAAAAAGAAAAACCACAAAGGTCTATAATTAGGTACTAATAGTAATAATAGCTCAGAAAAGAGATCAAATATTTTTAAAATTAAATATATCATGTTTAGAAAACACTTTAAAAAAATATTCGAAGAAAATTTCCTTTAGGTTTTTTGTATATGAATTAAAATAAAAAATAACAAAATTGATTTTGTAAAACTAGTGTTGCATAAATATTCTAGTTTTATCGCCGTTTTTTGTTAGTTCTTCCCAAAATACCAATTATTTTTAAAATACCAAGAAACTATTAATTATGACCACGAATCTCCATAACTTTAAAACGCGATGATAATAAGTACAGACGATTTTAAAACAAAAACACAGTTTTAAAATCAATAAATTAATTGCTTTGCTTAGAATCTAAATGAGGTAAATTAGGTAAAGAAACCAGGGTTTGTTCATATTTGTGCAATATAGTTATAAGCTATAATTAAAAATTAATCTTTTATTATTAAAAATTTGAGTGTGTTATTAAATCTTCAGCATTAGCTTTCGTAGGTAAACTACACTGCTATGTTAGTGTTTGTTGATATTTGATTTTAAAAAAGTACAAAAGCAAATTTAAAATTTATAGAAATAGCTCGAAAATAGCCATATAATATTTTTAAATATAGAAAATATTAATATAAATATTTTGTGATAAATTTGTTCTCTCTCCACTCACAATCTAAATTTAAAATAGTTCTTAGTACTTTTCTACTTAGTTTTCTTCCTACTTAATGTGTAATTAGAGGAGCTATCCAAAAAACCTTCAACTTAAGTACTAACTAGATGAAACTTTTCAAATCGATTGATATGTATAATTTTTACTTTAGAACTTTTATCTTAATAGTCTTAAACAAATTTTGATTTTAATTTTTAAATCTTCACTTCGCTTAAAATTTAAAAATACGCCACATTAAAATTAGCAACTATCGCACTTCGTATACAACACATAAAATATATAAAAAGAATTTTGAAATCTAAATAGCATTTAATATAGTACTTAGTTATATTCAAATAATGTATAATATGATAAACAAATGCTTGAAAGCGTTCAACTTACCTCGATGGGTATGAGCTGTGCTATTATGTAAGCGTACTACGAATAGCTGATTTGACATAGGAATTCAAACTAAACCAGATTTTACAGTACCAATCTAAGATTGAATATTGATACAATTAAAATTATTATAAATGATAAGGAACTTGGCAATATGTACGATTAACCTTATCTAATCAAAAGTAAATTATCAAAGATTTACACATATATATTATGACAATGAACACACCCAATATGTAGTAAACCGTAATTATATAATTCAATTAATATAGAAAACAGTAAAGTTGATTCACAGAGATAATAAGTTGAACTTGATATAATTGAGCTAGTAAATGGTAATATGTGTAACAAGTAACAACAGCGTAGTCAGGACCTCATTATCGGTAATGGTCAATGGATTAACAAAATAGTATTGTTCGGTAATTTTTAACGAAAAACCATTTGGTTTTAGACATGTAACACAATATTGTAATCCATTATAGTTGTTTAATTTCGATAATCGATAGTATTAATTGTTGGTCAATTATTTATCATCACATTCATCAATCATCAATATAACTAAGGCTCTATATATAATGGGTATGCTATGCCACCATTTTCAACTTATTTATCAACATAAAAAATGATAATATAAACGCGGGCAATTTCATATTCACAGTGATAAATGAGTCGCAAAATGGCGGCGTAGCATACCTATTAGCTATAGTGCCCTATAACTATTGATTATAAATACTATCATACATTTATAAATATTATAAAATCAATGGTATAAGGTATGTCAGTCGTCCGTGGTCCATTGTACATGTGTACAAGTGTAAATGATTAGTGATTAGTGATAAGTGATTACCTACCTACTGAGAATCGAAACTAACTTCTAATATAATATTATACCAAAGTTTATTTAAAAACTCAGTATGTTTTCATAATCTCGGGAAATTTTGGATAAATAATCCCGTTCCACCAAAATATAAATATTTGGTGAACAATTTAAGTTCATCTAAAGTTGAATTATATAAAAATAAACAAAATCGATATATAACTAGTTTTGCACAATAGTTGCAAGTGATAAGAGAATTAGGCCTTATCTTGAAAGACTTCTAAATAATTAGAATATCAATAATTAAATAATTATTAAAATATTAAACGATTAGTCCAGAGTCCAGACATTACTTGTTGTGTTTAACGCCTCCGTTTTATAACTTAATAATTGGATCGGCTATTAATATTTAATATTTCTGTTGATCTATTTTATATTATGTAATACTCAAAGAATTTTCTTCCAAATAATTTATTTATTTATCGGATGTTGCAGGATCTTACACAATTAATGAAATGTAACTATTGATAAAAAAAATGTACCTGACTTGTTATAATTTCTAATAATTAGGTAGTATATCATATATATCCCATAGATCATAGGCACATTGATACTATTTATTAGTTTGTACATATGTATATATATATATATTAATATATTATTATCAAAGTATATAACGTGTCCTAACTGAGTGACTGACTGATCGACCTAGACAGTACCTTTCACCCATGTAATAATGCATTTAGAGAGAATTTTCAAAATTCACATTTTAAAGCTGCGCTTTCTGCAGTCATGCAAAGATTTTTAGACTCCCAATAGAAAAAACATTTTTTTTTTTTTAATAAATGATTGCCTTTGGTTATAGATTATGATACCTAATAATAGTATAAATTAGGATTTTTTTTTTATAAATGGTTCTTTATATTAATGGTTAGCTTATAATTGGTATAAAATACAATTGTTATTATTACCTACATAATTTTAACCTCTAATTGACATTTGATCGATATATTTTTTACCAGCTCGGATTAAAATCATTGCCACATGTTTTTTTTCATTTCTGTAAACAATTGGTTACCCGTAAACGAATTGAACAAAGTTTGAATCATCATCTAAGAGTTTGCATTTTCAAGGGAAACGAAGTGCACGGGGTCGGCTAGTTATTTCCTGTATTTTTTTACACCAAAGTAGAAGATTATAAAAATAGTCCCGAACCTTGTTACCCTGCGGAAGCTAGACGCTCGTATATTACATGCCTATCAATATTGTTCAGAACACTTTATTATTATGGTCGCTCGGATCACCCGAGACTTGGACTGTTTCTCGCAACCGCGAAGAGGGAGCAAACCGCAATACGGTGAGCACGAATAGTGTGCGATTTTATGCTATATGACATTATAGGTCATTGATATTATTATGTATGAATATTATGTATTACGCTTAGGTAGAATGGCTGGGACGTTCTATATCGTCGTGTTATGTCACTCGCGGCGGCGGCAGCAATATAAATATAATGTATATATACATATACATTATACACAGGAACACGTGGTGAAAGTATATTTTTTTCTTCCGGTTCTTCCGATACGCGTTCCGCGAGTCCGCGACTGGTATCGTTATGTCTGCCGCCGCTGCTCGCTGCAGTATAATCTTTATTATTATTTTAAGTCTCGTCGCCGTCCGATCATGAGCGTCAACGCGATACCGATGGCCGACCGGCCTTTTCTGTCGGACTACACCGACGACCAAAACGATATGGACGTGTTCACGTTCATGTTTTTCGCCTGTTGCTTCGAACTGTTTTTGTTTAAGTTTTTCACCGCCACCGTCTGACACCATCAACCTATAATAATATCATAATAATTTATAAATAATACTACCGGCATTAGGTGTAGTGTAAACGCAGCAGACGACAAACGCCGGTAATCGAATAATAATAGTACATAATAATAATAATAAAGGAAACGACGACACGATAATATCATCATCAATCCATTATGCGATCGTGAGTGTCGTCGACTATTATACAAATACTATATTCGCCGCTCGTGCCACGCGACACGTCAAACTCGCGGATAACCGAAGACAGACGTTATATCAATGTTATAATGGTTTTTATTTTCGGTTTACAGACACAAACTGCTGTGCATCCAACAGCGGGACATTTTAAACACCAAATTAAAAGCGAAAGTGGCGTCCAAGGCGGAAAATGATCGTAAGTACACTCAAGCATTTCACTGAATAAATCATGAAGTACTCGACCTTTTTTTCAGAAGCTTTAAGTTAAAATTATTTCTGTGCATGATTAAATGATGTCTACTTCATATTATAATATAGATACCTACGTCACGAGGCATTGTGAAGTTTTTTTTTTGTTTTTATAACTATTTGCTTAGTTTCTTTCAATATTGTGTAAAATAATATAATATGATGTGTTTGTAAAATGTGTTTTATGTTCAACAGAGGATAAGTTTTTTGAAGTTCGCGATTATTTGGAACGGCTAGTGGAAGGGCTGGTGGACGGAGGCCTAGATGACGTATGCCTCACTCCCCTGTCCACCCACCCGCTATGTACGTAAAATCAATCTTCCTTACTTCTATAATGTATTAAATTTAATGTTTGATCATTTTGTTTTGGCCTAGACATGTCAATATGTTGGAAGTACCACGAACAGTTGGCCACCACGCTAACAGCAGCCATACACTCTATCATAAACGGTTGGTATAATATTTATTAATAATACATGTCAAAACGGATCGTTAGAATCTATTAAAAACGTATTTAGCGCATTCGAAAGTGAAAAATGAACGGTTGTCTTCTTATTTAAACATTTAGCAGAAGGTATATACTAGCACAATCTATAGCTACAGCGACCGCTATTTTTTTTTTTTTTTGGTTCACTGCTAATGCCTTAAACGTTAATATTTCGATCCAATATATTTTTTTAGTACATAATGTGCACCTAACTTATATTATATTAGTATACATTATTTTTTAGAGTCTGATGAGTTTGACGACATTCCCATAAAATTAAATACAATTTTGGAAGAATTGTCATACGAGGTAGAACATCTTCCAGAACTACAGGTTAGTTTTTTTACTATAATTGAATTGCTTTTCCTACCAATATACTTTATTTTAAATAACTTCATTGTAAAAAAAAAGTTGTTTAAACTGAATCTTCCATATAATATAATTGCCATGTCAACCATTAATAAACAATAATAATTATTATTAAATACTTAAAATTTAAAAGTTTTAACTCTCTGTGATTCAAAATACTTTTATTAATTTTGTCTTCTACATATTTGAAATTACAGATATCAAATTTAAATATGCTAACACGGTGGTATACCTATGTGAGCAGTCGGGAAGTCTTATACTCTTATCCCCCCAGAAATTTGATGACACTCTAGTTTTTATTAAAATACAATTATAACAAAAATATATAAAAATATAAGATAGGACATTGTTTCTAAACCTAATTGATTATTATAGATTCTGTGTATTCCACACTATCTAATAATACTTATATAAGGAAACAGTGTACACTTTGAAAGTAGATATATATCTATATCATTTAAATTCATCTAATAGGTGCGTTGATTTTCATTATGTTAATACTACTCATTAGCGTGCTACAAATAACGCTATACGTGCCATATTACTTCGTTTTTAAATACCTATATTCTATATATACGTAGATTGTACTTTGAGTACAGCTATTAGCGAATATACTATCCGTGAATCTCTACATAAAGTGCAACGAGTAGCTGTTGCACGCGCTGCACTATAGGTACCCAACATTTCGGTTCTTACTAATTATTGTTATTATTGTTTTTCATTCATTAACATTTCAAATAGGTATAGACGTATAGAAGTGTTCATAATAACAACTCATATTTTATAAACAGAGTATTATATTTTACTGGATACACATTTTTTTTTAGTTACATTTCGTGAATTTTAAACATAATTTCTGATCTATGTTTGATCAAAGAACGATAAGATAATAATATATTTGTTTTGGTAATATTATTGTAACAATCAATAATAAATGCAAACCAAGTGTCAGAAATTAATTTTGAATTATCCCACAAAAAGGATATTAGTTTATATTAAGATGAGAACGAATACATGTTATTACCTACTACAAATAAAAAAATTGTAATATATTACGTAATAAATTATTATTGTGAAAAATTAAAACTAAAATGTCTACGTATTAATAAATAAATAAATATTTTAAGGCTGCCCAGAAAAAGTGCGCCGTTCCATTGGCGGAAGATTTAAACGAAAAAAACTACGAAGATCTCTTGGCCACTGCTATATTAAATAAGGTACGATATATATTTCCGTTACGCGTAGTATTTACCTCCGTTGGTATTTTTATTAAATACATTACATGATGTTATGTGGAAACCCTTTTTCGTTCATACTAAGCTTGGATATGGCTTCCTGCCATTCCTTCATAGTTTAGAAGGCAGTTGCTTGTTCAACTGTCAAGCTGCACTAATAATAACTATGTTTGTAAGTTATAAAGGGTGCTTTTCATCAGATATATGTATAATTTTTTTTCTTATTACAGATTGTGGCCAACAGTCAGACAAAGAAAAAAGTCCCTGTTAGAAGGACTCGAATTTCTAAATGTTCTCCTAAACAAACGGGTATGTATTTTCCCCCAAGACTATATGTCAAATGGGCAAGAAAATATTATATTGATACGATAATAATATTATGTATGTAGATTCAAATAATCAGAATTCTATCGATTCAAAAAAAACTGAAGAGCCTCGGAGAACCCCAAGAGTGTCTTTAACAGTAAGTTTAAAATAACTGAGTGTAAAATACGAGTATATAGGATATAAATTATTAATTATGTATTTACGTGTATTATTGACCGTATATTGTAGCGAGTAGTTAAGAAAAATGTTGTATTTGCCTAAATATGTTACATAAAATCATAAAAAAATAAAAACACCGAAGAGATAAAATAATGTATTTATGCGTATAATGTAAGTACATAATATTATTGTTGTTAAGGTAGAAGAATTCACGGAGGAAGTGACGACGACCAGTTTCAATACATACTCTGATATTGAAGGCGATTATGACGATGGGTACAACGAAGGTGACGAAGAAGATGATGAAAGATCGCAATCGACCATTGGAATGTTCATGTCGAATGCGAAGTTGCTTCGAGGGCACACAGCACCTTTGCCCGAATTCGGGTCTGATACAGTTGAGGGTAAGTGCATATAATGTAGTTCTATATAGTACCTTTGAATAAAAAAAAGATCTCGAGCTTTTTCACCCAATCTACGTGCCTATATCTATGATCAAGTAATTCTACCTAACCATTATATCTAATTCAGTAATAGTTATAACTTATAATAATATAATAAATTATTTTATAACTTATAAGGCCTCAAAGGGAAATTTTTTTCATTTTTTTATCTCGAATATTTCAGTTATTTCGAATGTCTGCCGATAAAATAAATGTGCGCGCAACCAAACGACACGTTCGTCCGCGTTTATGATAAATTGAAAATAATAGTATATTTTATTATTCAAAGTTCTTATGTTTTTTTGTTTAAATAGATTAGGTAGTATAATATATGGACATTGATTTATTGCAGATATGCGTTTTTGATTACCCGAACAGAACTGTTAGGTAGTTACTTGTCAAATATAATACTTTTTATATTACGTATCTACATCGATAAGTTCGGATTGTTCACTATTACGTACATCGAGTGTCGTGCATATTCATTTATAATTTTTACGTAGCTTTCACTTCTGCCAACGATTCAATAATGTCGCGATCAGGATTGCACTCCATCATACAGTGTGTTTATTAGTGGATTTGAGATATATACTAGTATATTATTGTGATTTTATCTATTTCATATACTTGTTGTGACATGCACCCAAATCTCGTTTACTTGTTATTTTATATCTACCACCTATATAGGTACCTATAATCATTTTACATATTATACTGTTCGAACAATCGATCCTATAAATAATAACCATACCAATCGATTATTTAGCAAGACCGTGTATTAAATAATAAAATCTGTTTTTAACTTTGGCTCTAATTTTTTCTAAGTATTGTCGTGGTACCGACTTATTATGATGCTCCGGTCAAAAATATATTTGACAAAAAATACCTATCGATTTTTTCAGACGGCAGCAGTACCATCGATCCCGATGATCAAGGAATAAGCGCCACGGTTGACTCGTGGGAAGACAATTGGCTGTTCCAAAAGAAAAGGGTGAACCTGATGTCCGGCTCCAACAATTATCACCATCATCCCGTACCCGTTCCGATGTTAGTGCCAAACCCGTCCGAAGTCACCAGGCCGCTAATAGGCGATCGCGATGCCGACGAAACGTCCGAACTGTCCGACTACTCGAATTCGGCACTGGACGAACTGCTCGAACTCTGTAACTTATAATTTTGATTTATTCTGATCTCATATACATAATTTGTACATTTATTTGTATTACTGTGTATTTAATTCCCCGGCAAGGCTGTTATTAATATTATATGTAATGATTGTGTCTTTTGCTTTTTCATCTATAGCTGATTTTGAATCGGAGCCGCTGCAAACGAAGCGTTCTGCCGTCGACACAAACTCCACTGACGGTGGAATCTTACTGTTCGAAGGTCCTAGCAGCGAGGAGGACAACCCGCTTGTCTGGGATCCCGTCGTGGAGGCTTGTAACAAGCACGTCGCACTTTCTCAAGTAGATTCTGGTAGGCCGACTTAAAATTTGGATTATACCTATTATACATGTATACTTATTGTTATCGCATATAGCACTGTCGCGAAGTTTGTTGAAAAATATGTACATTAGACATTAATTTGCCGTCATTTTTTTGTACATTTCTAGGTCAAGGTTCAATGGATCATCAGAGGGATTTTGATCAATCTATAGAAGTCAACGAAAAACCGGTGCCTAGGCCAAGGTAATGTAGAAGACGCCAATAATATTATAATATTATTTTTTAATACATCATAATGTTATGTATATATACTATTTAATTGTATGCTGTTAGGTATACAATATAATATGTGTGATAAATGATAACTATTTTAATAACACCAATAAAATTGATTCGTCTTCATTTATAGGTCAAGTTTAATGTCAAACGCCACCGACAGTGAAGTCAACTCGGTGTCATCAGAGGAAGTGAATATTGCACAAGAAGACGACCCGTTACCTCCCAGGCCAGGTATCAGCATTTATATTATATACATGTTAATTTTCCGGATAAGACTTTATGAATTTGTATATTTTTATGCAAACTAAATAAATAGAAGACATTTGGTTCGATACACTGGTGTTTCGTTATGTCTGGACTTCTACTCTCAAAATATTAAATACAAACTTTTTCATGGTACTTTTTTCTTCATAAATGTGTAAAGATTCATGGTTTTTATTATATATTTTAAAATATTATGTGTTAGAAAAATCAAATTATACATCCAATTAACAGATTACTTTTCTTCTCGACAATATATAAAAATATTCTACATTTTGGAAAAATCTAAGAACACCGGGAAACTTTAAAACCATACTTAAACTCCTATAGTATTGATGGTGAATTTTTAATCGCAAAATCGTTTTAAGTACATACTTTCAAGGTTCAGTCTATATTAAGACCTCTAGTTCTGGGCTCGGTGCTCTGCCGGGATATTATATTATAATACGTCCCGTACGTCATCGTACAAGGTAAACCGTTGTACTGCAGGACAAGTGAAGTTACACTCGTTTTGATCGGTAGGTACGATAGCAGAACGAGAACATTCCAAGTGGGAAAAAGCGACACCACTGACTAACAACCCGTACTCCGCCGAGAACATCGAAAAGCGCAAGTTTAAGTCATTGTTCGGCAGCAGGAGCAGTAGTGAGGCATCACTGTGAGTTTGTTTTTTATTTTGTTCCACAAACAGTTTTGCTTGTTGCACAACTGTTTTACTTTATTCAAACGGTCGGATTTATAATGTTATTGTACATACCTATACGTTTTTCTTGCAGGAATTTAATCAATGGAAACGACACGTCCAGCCCGTTGAAAATAGTCTGCAGCTCCTCGTCAGTGGACACGCAGCGGTAATTATTGTCGTTCGCAAGTCCCAAAAAATTTAATTATTAATAATTTAGAGCACATGATTCCATCGTCCCACATATTGTTACCTATAGTGTCTCCGTTAATTTAACGGGTATATTATACAGTAAACTTTTATCAAGCAAAGTCGAAATTATGATTTCGAATACAGTAATACTCTAATTTAGATTAATTATTAGAAATTTAACCTCGTCTAATGCCGAATTCGAAGAGGAGAATATTTTAGAGATAATTTAAAGCCCTTTATTTTATTCATTTAATATTGAATATTTCTTAAAGTAGAAATCACTGCGATTTAAATGTTATCATAATATGTATTATAATATTATAGTATGCATGTAATATGGCATATACATATTAAGTTAACTTCAAATTTAGTAATATGAGTATAAACTCTAATGTTAACTTAGACGTTACAATTTCGATTTTACTTGGTGGAATTTTGTTTTATTGTACCTACATGGATTATGGCGGGTACTTATGTACCTTGTCCTAAAATATTATAATTAATATTCAATCATCTCAAAATGGTTTCATTCAGGTACGGTCGAGATTACTACATCAATCAGTCCGGGGAATTAAAAGCCAGACAAAAACAGGTTAGTGTTGACGACGTCAGTACTTTGGAAAAATCAATAGTGTACGGAACTTTGCTCAGAACCGTGATTAGGAACCAAACAGGCACAGACAACTTTGTTAAAAATCCCATTTACTACGAGGACGTTTCGAGCCATACATATAATAGCTGAACGTGCTAAAAAAATATTCTCATCGATATTTTGTACATAATTATTCATATATTTATTCTTTTTGATAATCTGGTTGTGAACCAAAATTGGATATTTTGGAAATTTGGCTTTATGTGATATTTTTCATAGGTACAAAATCGAAACAAGCGTTACCATATAATATAATACCTATTGTTTTGTTAAGATTTCAAATAAAATGTATCGTTAATCAGAACTTGCTGCAGTTTTTATTTGATTTGATGTACTCATTGAACCACCCCAAAGATCCTACGTTTGTTTCTAAACTTTTATTCGCTGAAATAATTCATAATTTAAACTAAATATTTCTTTGTGAGTAGGTGTATTGCCAAGTGTATTGGACTCTTTGAAGTTCTGTAGACCATCTATAATGACCACTTCCGTCATTGTCCTCGTAATCGTTTTATTTTCGATAATATGAATATCTACTATACAATGAAAACTACATTTTATGTGGTACGCTTCCCTACATGTAATATGTTTACGATTTTTTAAGTTTTCGGTAGTGGTGAAAGTAGGGCACAGTTGGTTTTTGGTGGTTAAATAATAATTAGAAATTTTGGAATACCGAGTGGAACTTACATAATGAATGTTTTATCAATTCCGTATCCTCAAGATTTCGTCTCTACAAGCTATGATTAAGGGGGGAGGGGGGTTTAGGTCGGACATCACTTTTGTAGTTTTATGTCTCATTTCTTCATTACGACACAACAGCATACAATCATTGGTCGTTTATGTATCTTTTTTAATCATTAACCGTATTTATAAATTTAGTATTTACAAATCATTTTTTGTTTACTATGAATCAAAAGCGTAAAATATTTATTGTTGTGTCTTATTTACAGTATTTCAGTTTGAACTCAATGCTCACAATAGTAATAGGTAGGGTGTTTGTATGGGTAATGTTGAACAATGTTCAAATTTCTGGTAAGAATAGGACTTTTTTATTTCATCGTGGGGGCTGGAGCCAAAAACCATCTTCGCCCTACTCTCCTTCAGCTCTCTACTCTCTGGTGAACTTGATCCGGACTTAACGGCCTTAACGCCGAAACAAATTCCAATTTTATGATTATTGAATTTATTAAATTGTAATGATGCGTAAACACGCGCCCGCGATGTGTGTTGTGTATCAGACCAAGGTATCCAAACTGGTAGTACAAATCGGCGGAGACGAATTCGAAGGTGACGGGCGACAAATCGGCGGCGCACTCCAGAACTCCGCTCCGATCACCCCGCAATCGCCGTCCAGTGGCGACTCATTAGCTCCCTTTGGCACTTGCGGCGGCCAAGACAAACTGGTTCGGGTGTCCTCGTGGACGGACCGACGGGAGAGTGGCAGTGGCGTCCTCAAGAGTTCTATCGCGGAATCGGCAGACGAAGTACATCACTGCATGCCTTCGGTCAGAGAACTAGCCAAACAGTTTTCGTCCAACGTGAGTGTAACCAAAGTTATTATAATTGTTTCTAATATAGTCTAACTTGTGTGATTTGTAGCCATATTATATATATGTAATATTAAGGTCGGTAGTTTGTGGTGGCGTTTCAAAAGAGAATCTAACACGATCGATGGAATATCAATTTATCAATTTACCAAAGCAGGGCATGCGCTTTATATTATGTTAAATAAATAATTATCATTTGAAAACTAACAGTATGTACCCATATGATTGTATATTATGTTATTTGCCTTGATGTTTTTCACGTTAAACACCTAAAACTATAGGGGGCATTAAACCAGGTCCTTACGCCCAAATTTTACCGTACGTTTAATATGATACATATTCAATATTGATATTATTTTAGATGCATTCGTGTACAATATGCTTATAACAGCAATCACAAAAACAATCGCTATGACCTACAATATAAAAAAAATATTGGTTCTTTTTCCCGTATTAGCAGAATGCATACGTATTGCTTAAATAAGGTTGAATATATCTCAAAATAGAATTAATACTGATCTAACTATAGGTATGCATAGGTACTTAATGATAATGATATTTTCAAATCATTCGCTCCTAAAAACAAGTGTCTACAATTATTATCATTGAATTTTAAAATATTAAATGTGCTTATACTGTATAGAATAAAAAACACATGTAAGACTATTTTATTGCTTACATTTGATTTTTGGAAATTATTTTTTTGTGACGCGGAGAGGAGCCTTACTGAATGGCTCATTTTAAATGTTGTTTTCACAACAGGTACTTCCTGTGACTAGTAAATGTTACGTCCAGTAAGAGAGGTGTGTTGGAGGCAAAACCCTCTAGTGGATTAATTGAACTTTGATTTTCTAGGATTCGTTTATTTATTTATTTCATTAGTGCAAGTTAATTCAATTCTGAATTTCCCGGAGCCCGCACACACGAAACGTAACAGAAGGCTAACATTTCATCGTTTTCGTTCGAAATGTCTTTTGAAAATTGAATTAATATGTGTTTTGAGCTCCATGAGAACAGCTAAAATACAATTAACCGACAAATATCGATGTATATCTTTACATTGGTTTTTACAAAATAATGTTTTCCTTTGTCAATGATTCGGTTGCAAGTGATGGGTGGGTAAATGTTGGCGCTCTCTGATTCCATTCTTTTGTCCTTTATTATTATATAATATGTGGTTACAATTCATTGCTAAAAATTATATATTACAATTTTAACAAATTTTAATTTTGATGTTTTTTGCACTTTTAGAACTCTGAAAACACATGCAAGAACCCGAGCAGACAAGTAAGTAAACCTCCTAGGTGTTACGCCGCGAAGGTGTACCGCCTCCAAAGGAGGTTCAATTAGTATATTCAATGTTATGTGTGAGTGGTTATATGTAAATATTATATAATGTATGTATAATGTATATAAATATAGGCAGGTTCACGGCGACTGATTCGGCGTGTATAAGTAACATAATATATTATGTTCTCCTAAGTCCCCTGCTAAGTACTAATGTGTCATTATCGATGTGTTGCTGTTATCTGTCAATTGTTATATTGTTATTTGCGTTCGTCTGTATTTTTATTTTTATTATACATAAACAGCATGTCACAAAAGTATAAATGTACGTCATGTATTTGTATAAATTATGATGTATTAAGTTCAACAATATAGTTAATGGTGGATAATATATTAAAAACATATTGTGCAGTCGACAAAAGGCTGATTATTTCGTAGTATTGACATAGGTTATTGATAATATTATAGTTCTATAATGTGAAAATATTACTCTTGAGTTTTCTCATTGCGATGACATTTAATTGTAGTTTTCAAATGTTTAACTTACACAATTTAGGTTATATGGTTTACCTACAATCTACAATAAATTACAATAATTTATATAAGTTTAAACTTATTTACTTATTCAAGCGGTAACGTTTATAAGAACTAAGAAGAATCAACTCAGTACTACTTGCTTAGGTTGTTTTTGTATTATAATTTCGGCTTTGGATTTATTAATAATCAGTGTTATTAATAGTTCAAAATTAATATGCATTATTGTTATTTATTGTTATTTGTTATGTATGTATACTGCTGATATGTGTTGTAACAATTATTATTTTTATTATTATTTTCACTACACGATTCAGTGAGCGTGTCCTCAAGTGTAATAAACGACCATTACTAATACTTATGAATGAATATACCTTTAATCTATAGGTAGATGCTTATGCAGAGCACAAGCTGAATGAATCCAAAATTCAAAACCGCATCGATTATTATGTGGGTAGGTACCAACAGTAGTTTAGGTTTACCTTTTTACTCCTGTAGCAGTGTAGCACTGAATCATAGCTTTTTTACGTAAAACGTCGTAACGCTTATGAGTAATGCATACGACCTGGATTTCAATGCAAATAATGCATTGTTTTTTTAATGCTCTAGGACAATGCAATCCAAGTGAATTTCATTTCGTGTAACAGATAAACTTCAAAAGTGAAATTGTGTTTTGAATTTTTTTTAAGTTTTTTTGTTTTTCCATTTTTAAAGCATTTTTAGATAATTGTATTAATTTGTTTAAAAGCTTTTAGTGTAAATTATTAGAAAATTTAAAATATTATATCGAGAAATATTATTTTCTTAATATTTGCTTTAAAAAATTTTAAGCATTTTTTGTCCATACCTTCTAGAATTAGGAAGATGAGCGAATCATTCTATATTATATGAAAGCGATAACGTTGTAATCTGTCTCCAGTGATTATCGGATGCCAAAAGTTAAACCATCGTTTTCCTACCTATCAGTTGCCTATAAAACAAATGTTTGGTCATTTTTGAAGGGCATTATTGGAAGGTCATTTTTATGGAATTGTCGATAATTTTGTGAAAGTTTTAAATGCATTTAAATCCATACTCTAGTTTAATATTATAAAGTAACGGAAAACCGTTTTTCGGCATCTTGGTAATATATCACTAATGGCACAGAAGTCGGGCGTACTTATATACAATTCTTGGGTATTATAATTTATAATATTACGCGTTCAGTCTTCAGAAACTCCAACATAACCTAACCGTTAATAGAAAACAATTCACCTGGTCTTCGCACACATTCTTGTAGAAGGTATAAGGTTAAGACCGTCCTCTGAAGGCACGTTTTTAAAAACATAGCGCTGTTTACACAGCTAAAACCATAATAGATATGATATCTAAGATATCAGCAGTGGCAATTCTATGATAAAAACAATCGGAAACGATTTTATCCACAGTGCAGTCTTGTCGAAAGCTTATTTTTAAAATGTTGATTTCTTACTATAACACTTAGAATTGGGTGAATTTTTTTTTTAAACTTATAATTATAGGCATATAAGGGAACACACTCATTAGTATTACTGTCAATAAAATAAAAACAAAATAATGTCCGTCAAAACGCGGACAGCGTTGTTCTGGATATCTTTTACGATTAATCATTGTAATGTAGCGTAAGAGGTATCTAGATTATTTTAATAATAATTGCAATAAGTATATACTTATACTGCAACTTGCAAGTGTATTCATAGGTATAATATTATGGTGTAATGCAGTTATAAGTTATTACATATTGTGTTCAACTCAGCTCCTCAGTACGAGACACTATTAGTGATATTAGACGGATAGACAACTGACTGTAAATAATATACTGTACGTTGTGACGTTGTGTCCTGTGTGTGTGTGTGTGTGTGTGTGTGTGTGTGTGTGTGTGTGTGTGTAATATGCAATTTAACACTGGGCGCGGCCGATGGGCATTCACATACGAGTGAAATAATGATATTAGGAGATATATATTATAATATTATATTGATGGATACGTAGTGATACGTCATTCGAGGTCAATCGTCGGCTCCGGATTTCTACCATTGCACTGCAAATTATATACATTATGCATTTATTATAATACTACACCTACAAGCGTATTGTTATAGTTTTATGTGGCCATCAGAGAGCGGGAATCAATAATTATGATAAGGGAGGATCACTGCGTGATCACAACACATTCCCTGCTACATCGGTTATATCCCACCTACGAAATCGTTTTCACTGTCTAATATCATATTATTATTATTAAAGGGGTGCCAAGCCCACATGTGTCAGTCTTAGAAATGGATAACAATGCAAAAACTGTTTGCGCGGGTTAGAACCACTCAGGCTGTAGACCAAATTTTTACATTATTAAGAGGAGAACATTCGCTACCCATCGTCGTTTTTATTTTTTCGATATAACAAAGACGAGAGAAGTTGTTCGAGTTTGGAAAAAAAATGAATTTTTAAATAACAAGAACTTTTTTTGCATGATATTTTGTTATATCACTAAAATATAGTGTATAGTAAAATATGTTCTCATCTTTGTAGTGTGAAAATGTGGTGGCTTAGCTTTGACTACGGCCCGAGTGGTTCTATCCCAAGCAAAACAGTTTTTGCTATGTTATACATTTGTAAGACGGACACAACACAGTGTCATGCGGGTGTGGCGTTCTCTAATATTAATATACATATTTTATACTGCAATAGTAATATTTATATAATGACATACCACAAATCCTAACACTACTCCCGACTCTCGTCTGATCTATTCGAAAAATATGCCTACGTTTTGCGAATTTTTAAGTGCAATACCCATGCAATTGCTTTCAAAATGTCGGCATGCTTTTCGAATCGATCGGTCAAAGTCGGTCGGGGGCAACTGATTCACGCGGACATATCATCGCCGTCGTTGTGTCATTTTTGTACGCATTTTTTACAGGTACACAGTTTGACGGCCAGAAGCCTCAGCCGAGAGTACCGCGAAGGATTAGGATTGAAAGTGAGAGATAAAAGTGGGCACGCCGTACAGGACTCCGACGACAGTGGCAACGGATCTGCCAAATCTGAAGACGCCAACACTACGGTCAGCCACCGGCACCAGCTGCAGCTGGCTCAGTGAAATTCTCCGATACGTTGGATCAACAACTTATCAAATTATTACAACCGTCGTAGAGACTAAAATATAGTAATGCACAGACATTTCTATATTATAATATTATGATATCGAATAGGTAGTCTTCACAAAATTATTATTATTTTAATATTATTACCTATATTATGGTACATATCACATTACACCAAGTGTATATATTATGATATAATGTATTACGGCGTTTGTGCTATATAGCATTGATTTTATAATAAGCTATGATACAATTATAATGTCAATGGTTATAGGTACCTCCTGCCTATATGGCATATAGAGGTACAAATAGATGAACTGCAGTTGTTGTATTGTTATAATTTATTATCGTATAATAATATTAATTAAACTGTTATTATTATTTTTTTTTTTTCAATTAAAGTAATATTTTTTTTTTCAAAATTGAAAAGCAATATAAGATTATTTCATTGCAAGTGCATATTTTATTATTATGATTAAAATATATATCATTTGTTATTTGTATTCTTTATACAATTTATATAATTTATATGAACGTTTTTTTTTTTTGAGCAAAATATATATTATTACTTATATGCTATGTTTTTAACTAAGATTTTACAGGCTTCGACATCTAAGGTCATTGGCCAAACCTAGACCATATTATGTTTAAGGTAGTATTGATATTTAATAACTTGTGTTTACTATCTAAACATGCATCGATTACAAGTTCTTTAGTTCTTTCCGTCCTTATATTTTCATTAGATGTATGTTTATAGTCGTGTACTACCTACTCGAGTTCTGGTTCGAATCAATCAATACATTCGCATAGCTCGAACGTATTATAGGGCGTATCTGGAATGTTTGCAAATATCTCGTTTAAAATTATATCTAGCTCTAACTTTGGCTATTTTGGGTTTCGAATACAAGGAAGTTGATACATCAAAATTACCAGAAAAAAACGATCGATCCAGAAATGATACTCAAAATAGTGGTTTCCATTAAAAAAAAAATGAAGTTGTGTTGCACATGCACAAAATGCTCGAGTTAAAAAAAAAAGTAATTCATATAAATGTATGATTCATTATTCTAGTTGAATGGCCCTCAAACAGAATTGAAAATTATTTACTGGGTAATGAGTTATACAGATATAAAATGTACCCTGTTTCCTCGGACATCCGTGGTTTACTATTAATTTATTATATATGTTGTAAGGTGACGTAGCACAACATGCAATCGCCAGATGGTATTCATTATTTATTCGTATTAATGTATTATGTAAGTAGGTATATTGTATATATTTATCATATTCATCAATGGCTGCATCAGAGTTCCGTCCCAATCATAAATATTGAATTTAAAAATAAACTATTATAGTTTCGTTCCGGGGTTTTTTAACGGATATACCAATTCTGCCCAGTGTCAAAACGAATTCCTCCAAAAAATCTCCAGTTAAAATTTACACCGCAAACCATTTACGCAGATTTTGAAAGTGCTATACAGCTGTTTATGCAGTTTGGCCAGAGATCAATTTAACAGGATGTCGATTTCACTTAGGGCAACCATGGTGGCGTAAAATTCAAGGTCTTAAATTGTCCACTTTTTTTAGACTATTTAATTGACTTTTTAATATTTACTGCATTTTTAATTAATATTATAAATATACATATTATTACGATTAAATTATGAAAATGTACTAATAATATGAATACTTCTATTTTTGGTATGCATTTTATAACAACAATGTTTATTTGTTTAACAAATTATTACGACTAAATTATGAAAACTGTTAAGGACGGAATAATAAGTTTATACCTTTTTTTAACTGGTTGTTACGAGAACTTCTCCAATTCCCAGGAATATAATAAGTTTTTAAATATTGATCAATGTTTCAGTATGGTACAACAATAATTGTTTTTATTATTGTTGACTGCAAAATAATTGCTTTGAATATTTATTATTATTTATTACTCAATTATTATCCTGAGATAAGTAATATAAATATATTATACGGCCTAATTACATGTTAAATTAAAACAACGGTTTAAGTTTGATCCATAAATTACAAGAATTTGATATATTTCCCACCTCCAATAAATTGGTGGATAAATCTAATTCATTTGTGGTCATTATATGAAGTTGGTAAATGATGAATCCACAATCGACAACTATAAATGGGCGTGTTGAGAAAAGTTGGTGGAGCAAACAATAAAAAGAAGAAAATGTGCAACTATAGGTTAATAACTACAGAAATAAAAAACTTAAAATTAACAATTACAAAAAAAAAACTAAGTTCGACCGCCAAATTCTGACTTCACCATTGTTTTTAGTATAGTTAACTTGTTAACTACATAAGACTAAAAAAAAAATAGCAAAAAAAGGACGTCCGATAAAGTAACAATATACCATAAAGAGCAGTACTGTACACAATATAATGTACTAATCAGGGCCGTATTTAAGGGGGGGCAAGTGTCCCTTGTTGCCCCGGGCGGCAAGTTCTTTGGCTTATTAGGGGGGCGGCAATTTTATATTGAAAATAAATATTATGATTTATGGCGTATCTAATAAAAAAAAAAAATGTTTTTATTTATACTTCAGTCTTCAATAAATGTATGGAAAAACTATTTTGTTAATTATTATTTAATAATTTAATACCATTAAATATTATTATATCTATAAATAGATTGAACTTTTTGAATGTGCGATAACGATGAGCGTTGCACAGCCGCGGCTGTGCCCATATCATGTAAACAAACGCAGTGGTTCTCGGTATTTGATATTATTTACCAAATTAGAACAAAAACATTTTAAACTTATACAATATATTATTATGTAATATGTTATCGCTTTGATACCTAACAAGTACAGTTAAATATTTCGGCTTCGGCATAGCCGAATCTCGTGCATCCTAACATTACATGTTTAGATCTGTTGGTGTATTGGTGACAGATATACGTGTGTTTATTATTTTAATAAACAATACACTGTCAAATTTAAGTTTTTACCATTTACGGTTCTATTTACGATTACGGAAGTTATGGATCGTAAAAAACTTAGTGGAGCTGGATACCGGTTAAAAGCCAAAGAAAAGGCTAGACAAATTGCTGATGTTGTTGTCAAGACTAAAAATATTAAACATTTTTTTTCTGTTTCAACTTCTAATTCTGGAGCTAGTGTTACTACTGATTCGAGTAAGTAATTGATTCATAATACTAATAACTAATAAGTAATAAGTAATAACTAATAATTATTAAGTAATAACTGGGTCTTTACTNGTTTCAGAATCTCAGTCTACTATTTCGCCTAGCATTCTACAACTGGTACAGCACCGATCGACTTCGGAACATAGCGTTTTAATTGAGGGTGAAATTCTGAATATGACGGAGTGTTCCGGACATGAACAATCAGATGCAATGGAGTGGGGTGATGACGGTAATGACGAAGAGTTGAATGTACATATGGACACATACGAAGGGTGGGGTAGCGATTATGGAGGGGGGGGGGGGTACAGGAGGGCGGTTAAAATATGTTGCCCCGGGGCGTAAAATGTCCAAATACGGCCCTGGTACTAATGTAACAAACATAATATATTATGAATACTCAATAATTGAAGTGGCACAAGGAATATATTTAACAATAAAAAAAACTTTCCTATGTTTAATTTAGTCAAAAAATAATAGACGCCGCTTATAAGACTCACGGATATAAGGTTCAGTTGCTTTTAAAACTCAAAATAGTTCAGTTTAGTTTTTTATAATACATACACACTTCGTTTATATGACTCAAATTTCGTAAAAAAATGGTAAAAAATAAATATTGTTGATTAAAATTTAGAAATAAATTAGTTTTTTGCTTTATTATGTGTGTGTACAACAAATTTTATCGCATTTCACATTTTCCAATATATTTCCGGAATATTAGTTTTTAACTCCAAACAAACCCAATTTTTTTTTAAATTTCAAGTCTTTAGACCCAACGGTTTGGCCTGGGCGTTGATTCTTGGTAAAGTACACTTTCCTTTATATAATTATATATATAGATTATTGACCTTCATATGCAGATAGGTTCCTTGATTATGAAAAAAAATATCAGATGGCAATTTTTAAATGAAATATTTGCTTGGTGTAATCAATTTTTAAAAATGATTTATAAGAATTTGTTTGGATTTTATATTGTATATATTGGTTGGCTTTTTAACCCTGGATATTTTGACCTAGATTCATATACATATTATAGGTGGGTGACCGTTATGACTTATGACTACACTTGCTCCTACTCTCATATCATAAAACTTTTATAAAAAAATATGTAGTAAAATAACAGTATAGCAATTACATAATATAGGTAGGTAATATTATTGGATCAAAATATTCTTATAAAAAAAAAAACACTCAGTTTAACTTGTTATTTGTCAAATATACATTTTATTTTTTTAACTCTGATTAGTAAATAAATAACACAATTATTTTTTTCAATAAAACATGTAAGTGTAAATTACAAATTCAACCAATTTTCTTTAAGTTACATTTAAATATTTTTCTAACAATAATAAAATAATAATACTTAATAACATTATCAACGCCGATACATAAATATTATGATATTAAGAATATTGTTAACAATGTACAATAACACCACTCAAGGAAGACAAATATGGTTACACTGCGCAAATTTAGGACACTTTCTCCCTTAATTTTGAAATTGTTCACATACATTATAATTATCAAGTTAAAATAAAATATATAACTGTTAAAGTAAAAAGTATATAGTTATTAATTAAAGAAAAAAAATACATAAATAAATCCATAATTCATATAAGTAGGTATGTATAATCGATGATATGATTTTTATTTATTAATTTGGATATCATAAATATTAGGATCATACTAACGTTAAAAAAGGTTATTTTTTTCTGTAAAATGTTTACATATTTCTTTAATTATAATTTCTTTTTTTTAATATTTGTATAATATATATATCATTTTTAAAAATGCCCTACATGCAATGGCTCAATAATTTTTATTTCATCCATTATACATAACTAAATAATATTATACATTTATAATTCAAGAAACTATGCAGTCACTCAGCAGATGGTAGGTGCTCAATAATAACTAGTCTGATCACAGCATAAAATTTTATATTTTTATCATACCAAGCGTTTATAATTATATAATATAATACTCGCGAACATCAGAGTGCGCATAGGGTAGGCACTTGACTACTCTGTGAACTTCCCCCTCAATATTCAATATTGTCATGATAATGTTAGATACCGTCAACAGTAATATGTAAGAATATGGGGAAAAAAATTACCACATCTAAATTTTTTTTAACTTTAGGAGTGGATAAGAATATAATATATTATAGTTTAACATATGTGTGTGTGTATGTGTTAATGTGTTATTTATGACTACCCTGCCAGTCATATCTGTGCACGCTTATATACGTATATGATATATCCCAACTGTCAACTCCAGTCCTGTAATCGACAGTTACCTTCTTGATAAAATAACACGGTATGATGGCAGTTTAATGATACGCATACTCATTGCCACGTCACTATTCAGTATCTAGTTTGCCACTTTTCATTGGTTTTGTCATGACTAATATGTACTTATAGTATATTATGAAGTAAACTTGATACAACTAAATGCGCAAGACTTAACAATATTTCAGTTTGTAGCCGTCATACTATGTTATTTTATCATGGTTATCTTAATGATTAATAAGATACACAATAGTGAATTGCAGAATTTAACCAAAAATAACTGTGTGTAAAATATACACGGGGAGAAAATGTCCATCTACCGCATCAGGCACGTATACAGGGCTATAGGGGGGGGGGGATTGGGAATTTTTGAACCCTCCCACCCAATATTTTATTTTACTTACATAATAGAACTTTGAATTTGTAATTTATATTGGTTATGATTAATTAACTGGGAGAGGGGGGCTCCTAGAAAAACAAGTATAGCGTATACAATATACATGCTTGGGTTACTCAAGTTAAATAGGTGTAGAGTAAAATGTCTACTTTCAAAACACCAAGCATTTATTTTGAAATCCCTAACCTTCAACTTCATGATAGTTCATTATACAGGCATTCATGTTACTTATTTTAGTACATGGACTTCACAATAAAATACTATAATTTAGGTTAATACTGTTTGAGCAAACAAAGTCAACTAAAATTAATTTATCTAAAATCTAAATAGGCACGTTGTGATGCTAGCGCAAATTTAATAAAAATATAATATTTTTCAGTCTAATTTGTCTAACCGTCTTGCGGTTTTTTTCTTTTTATTGCTGTCAAATTTTGAATATTATTTATGACCTTTGCTATATCGTAACACAAAATATAGCAGGTATAATAATATTATGGACGGATATTGTACAGACTCAACCCTGTTAATTAGTTTCTCTATTTGTATTATATACATGGACCCAGATTTTTCAATACCACTTTTTACATTAATCAAAAGTAATATGAAACCCGATCGTGAACTAAACAATTAGGCTCAAAGGCCATGGCCAGGCATAACATTTAAAAAAATTAAATAATAAACCCAAAGTATTTCTCTTTTCCAACAATAATGGATTATAGTGGTTCAGTTTGAGTGGACATGTCAACGGTGTCTGTAGCAAATAAACGGCATGTGCACTTGTAACTCATAGGTGAAGTATCTAAACTATCTGTTTGGTCTGGCTCTGCATCCATGGCCATTGTCAACAATGACTCAAGACGCTCAATTTTTTCCAAACGATCCATAAGTTTATCAGATAATACATCATCCAGCCTTTGCATAGATTCAGTTAGGCTTAGCGGTTGTTCGGACACGATAGATTGGGATTCTCCTTTTTAAAACATTGAAGGTTATTAATAAATAATAGAACAAATCAAAAATTTAAAAAAAAAATATTTACCAGATGCAGAATTATCAGATGATGTTGATTTACCACTGATATTGCTGTCTAAGCTAAGGAACTCATTGGAATCACACTCATCTCCATTATATTTCCTATAAAACATTAGTATATTATTAATGATGTTTGATTGATTAAATTATTTTCACTTCTTACATATTTTTTCCTTCCATCTTTTCTAACTTTTTTGCAACCTTTGTGGATCCTTTTAACTTTTCTTTATCTTCCTCAGTTAATTCCAAATGCCTACAACCATAGTTTAGGTTTAAAGAATATTTAAGTCAATATATTTAATTGAAATTAATCAAAATACCTTAATAATCTCAATTCTCTGTTACTGAGAACAACATTTTTGCCATTATCAGTAGACAATTTTTCTTTAAGAACTTGCAACTCGTTATCAATTTTACGCTGGTGCTTACGTTTTTGAACATTATCTGGAGAAATATACAAAAACGCTTGTTCTTCACATAACTCTTCGAGCAGTTTAGTATTGGATGGATGAATTTGACTATAAAGCAATAAAAAAAAAGTTAACATAATTTAAGTGAACATATCATTTTGAAAAATAAAATATTATATCATAATCGAAAACTTTATAAATGGTTTGTATAAAATAGATTGATATTATAACATTGAATATTAAAAAATTAACTTCACTATGAAAAAATTGTGTATAACATAAGGTATACAAAATTAGTAGGAATGGGAAATCTGAATTAAATTTAATATCCAAACATAAAATATTATTAAGTTTTCCAAATCGTAATTTTCATTAAAGTTACCTAACTAAGAATTGGACAGATTGTATGTTTATTTTTGGTTTTTCCTTATAAAAATCTTTTAATAATATTATTCTCAATAAATGAGTTATATTATTGACTTCCAAAATATAATTATATTTTCATAATTTACCCAAATAAATAACAATTTTGAAATAAGGAGATCGTAATTTGAATACAAAAATATTACGTACAGCTATAATAATATTTATACATATATACATTTACAAGGCATATTATACATTACAGTATAAGACACTGCAATGTGGGTATGTTGTGTCAATGTGTCAGTACCATGAAACCATATATCATAAACTCCCTGCATAATGCACCCTACCAATATACTACTATTATCAAATTACGTAAGTACTGATTACTCAAGGGATTATTTAAATAACTTTTTTTTAAATAATGTTAACTATTCATAAAAAACTTACGCAGATAAAATTTTATATAATTTAGGCATGAGAGTTAATACGTCACTGGCAGCGTAAGCGAGCATATCCTTAGATAATGGCCTCCGTAGCCAATACCTTTGATCTTTTTTATTTTGAGTTCTCAACTGATCCTTGGATGAGTTTATTGGCAAACCATACATTTCACATATGGCATTAAGACTAAGATTTTTTGCCTTATAAACCGGTTGCCCAGTTTCTTGAAATTGAATAATAGCAATGGCAGCCTAAAATTGAAAAACATGTCATATAGGTACTCAAATATTTTAATTTATCTATATTATGGCAAAAAATATACTTGTACAAATTGGTTACATATTGGAAAAGTTACTGTTAAAAGTTATTATCAATACTCAATAAGATTTAGGTAATACGATAGTGCAACAGGAATTTTTAATATTAATTTTGAATATTTTGTCATAATATACTTAAATATGTAAGCACTTGAAATCATAAAATATGTCATGAAACTAAAAAATGTAATACATATTCATAAAAAATATATTTAAATTCCTTCAACATTCGCCCCCAATCCCGAGTGATAAACACATAACATTGTAATTACTAATTACTCAAATTAGGTTCAGAAATCCTATTTTACGAATTAATTTTAATCTAGAAGGTTCGAACGACAGTTTAACAAAATATTTTAATTTCATGGCAATCATAACCATACCATTATTTACACAAATCAGATCTAGACACGAACATTCGTGAATGTAATACAATTTAAGCAGATCAATTTATTATAGGTACCACACGAAACAAAAAACTGTTACAGGTTGCACACAATAAATTAAATTATTTCATTTATTCTGTGCCAGTTGTTGTGTGCCATAAAAATATTGTGCGGGCGTAGAACAAATAAGAATAGGTGTGTTTAGTTGAAATAGGTAAACGATAGTTTATATGCTACGACTACACACAACTTGACTTTAAACTTATAATGTATATAATATTTTTTCAATTATAACACTACCAGACTCACCTGAATATCGAACACGTTTTTCATTGCAATGCCAAACTGGTTGTACAGGTTCAAACTTTCATTCCGACAATCATTGATCACCTGTAAATACGTGAAAATATTAAGAATTATACATTTTATATTTTTGCAGAAGATTATAATTAATTAATAATTTGTCGAAAGTGATTATCTGTTATGTCCTATAATTTATATCAAGTTACACGTATAGCCCGCCCATAGGTTGAAATAAAAATGAATAGGTATTAGGTAGTTAGGCTAGCATTAATTATAAATATTATATTACGTATACTAACGACAATGTTAGTTCAACAGTAACGTAACTGTCATAACTCTTTATTAATTACAATTTATAGATTATTAAAACTAGACTACTTAAACTTTAAAACCTAGGATAGTTGGGGTGCCGCAAACGGGCGATGTCCTCCTCTCATGAATTTAATAACATTTTATCATTATAACATTTTTGTTTATTGGATTATTTTTTTAATATTTATGCGTAGTATAGTATTTAGATATTGTAAATGTACTCTTACCTACTATGTTTTTATTTAAATATATAAGAAAGTTACAATTAGAGAGAAACGAAAATAATATTATTCCGTCAATTTTATTTGATTTAAAATTATAGCTTAAAAACATTTATTATTGGTTTTTAAATTTAATTTAATCATATTATATGCGTGTGATAATTAAAACAGAATAAAACAACCTACGATATCTATGATCGAATATTATTACTTATTAACACCTTTGTACGGAGTCGGGAAATTTTGTTTTTTTGGTTAGTCGTTAATGCACGCTCCCCCTTCTATTTTTGTTAGATCTCTAACCAACGTAACTCCAAAATTAACTGAATTTTAGGTAGCAATATCACCATGTAAAAATGAATAAGATACATTAACTATATACTTATATACGTGATATTAAGTTAATTCTATTTATTCAAGTAAAATTATGAAACATTGATACATTTTCCAAGTTCTATAAACTATATACATATGTAAAAAAAAATAAAAAACTATTGTACAACATAATACAAGAGATTACTTGGTGGTTGAACTAACTTGGAGGAANTGGTAAAAAATGTCCCTGTGACGAAAGAAATGCCAGTATCGCATAAAATACCAAATACGTTAATATTGCTGTCAATTTCGGACAAGGAAAGTTGGTTAAACTAATACAATGTATTTCTTAAAAATAAATAGGATTGAAAAGGTGGTGTTATCATTTTTTTTAAATAGTAGTAGTATGCGTTATGAGCATGATCAAATCTAACGAACAATAAAAATTCTCACGGAGAGCATGAACATTTGTATTACTACACAGTACACATAACAACCAACTAAAAAACAAAATTCGAAGTGCACTGTATACGATTATTGTAATTTGTTTGGTCAAAAAACTAAGGTATAGATATTTTATAAACGTTATTCAAGTATACAAGGAAAACATTTTTAATTTAAATTAAAAACATAAAATGTAGTTGGGTATCTAATAATTTAGTTAAGTTTTTTAGTAGTTACTTATTAGTTTAATAACTTTATATCAAAACAAATTGATATATACAACCTAATTTAAGGACCTATCATATTATTTATGTACAAATTAAGTTAAGGAACTATGGTTTTACCCGAGATTTTACCTTATTAGGTAACCATATAATCTCATTTTTTTATTGCAAGCTAATAACCCCAGGAGTTGAAGCTGTACCATAAGTTTAAAAAAAAACTTTATAATTAGTTTTATTAAACGAAAAGAAATAAAATACAAATTAAATGTTTTTAAGTCGGTTATAATGAAAAGAACATAAATATCAAAAACATTGTAAACTTGTTTATTTTTAAATATAAATATCATTGGTCCCAGATGTAATCTCAAAAGAACCATATATGGGACTTTGAAGGGAGCGTGTATATTTAAACAACATTAGCACACGTATAAGTAATTATATTATTTATAATTTGTTGGTTTAAAACATAAATATACGCAACAAAGAAGTAGGAAAATGTTTGACTAAGCTCTAACATTTGACTGTTAGTATTTCCGTAATGTAAATAAAATACATGACATAATACCTACAAAATATAACTATTAACTATATAGATATACTCAGGTATACTTGGATGAGTGATGACTATTTCAGACTAAACAAATATAGTACAATATAATATGATTATATAGGTATTAATTAAAAATTTTGGTTTCCTAAATTTTCTGGTTTCGTGGTAATTATTTCAATTGAAAACATTTAGGTAAATAATTCATTTTAAACATGTTACAACAGTATAGAATATTTTCGTTTATAGGTACTTATTACAACTACCTACTAGGTATAATAAATAGATTAAGAATTTAATTTTCTCATATTCCACTTATTATTTTGTCTTCAACTTGAGTACCTATTTCAATTTTCTAAGAATTATAATATTGCAATATTTTATATTTCTTTTATATTTTTTCATTACATACTATAAGAATTGTTTGATTTTTGCAGTAGCAGTAATATGGTCTATGGCGTATTGTTCAAACTTCAAAGAGTACCTTGTGGCTTATACATTTACTATTTAGTAATCACAAGTCAGCGCACGTCACACAATAACCCACACGGCACACACTCAAGTGATATGTATAGGAACTCGAATACTCTGGACGCGTCCTACTCTTTTCGTTTAACTGTTTGTTGTCGATGTTTTCGTAATCAAGTCGATTGTTTTCATTAACAATAATTATCATTTCCACTGAATAATTACTAATAAGAATGCAGTTTTCGTTTGCCAGTCGTCAGTGACCTCGACAAAGTTATCAAATACATTTTACCAATCCCCACCTCAGAGTGCAAGCACGGGTGTTTAACGCGCGACTTAACTGGACAACTTCCGCACATACCTACCACGCGTATAATACTATATGATGTATGTAAGGTACACATTACACACCCATTCGATATAGCAGGACATAATAACAGTTTCGTAACATTTCTTCTACAGTTCAACCTACTCTACGGTCTACACTCTACAGCAGCACCATAGTAAATATAAACGTGTACAAGAAACGTATTTCCATGTTAAAATCACGCTTGATAGAAAGTACGATGATTGAACCATAATCCAATCATCATATTATTATGACTTAGAAGTTTAGAGCCAAACATGAGAAATTTATTGAGATGTAATAATTTTATTTATTCCACGATCAGTAAAAATCCAAATAGATTAATTTTCGTTTTTAATTTAAATTAACAATTAACAACCTGACATAAATACACCATTACATTTCGAGCGTGGTTTTTGGTAAGTGGTATCTAATCATTACTTTAAGAAGGTCAAAAGTAATAAATTTACAGTAGTTTTTAAAATATCCAGAAAAACTAAAAATACATTAAAGAAAACAGATAAGTATTTATGTTATGTTCACCAGTTTTTGACAAAATTATTTTGTTGTAATTTAAAAATGAGTTATCCCCAATACTTTATGAAATTTTCATCAAATGTTTATAATAGCATTTCCTTAGCATTTTCTAGGTGGGATATTATATTTTGGCTATTCATATTTATTGAATCGTTTTAAATTTTAAATTTATGAATGATAAAATTAAAATTAAATATAAAAAAATAACAATTGCTAAAAATTTTTGTTATTTTATATTGTAACTTAACAGATATTAATTGTAGGAACTTAAAATATTACTATTATTTATATAATTATTTTCTCTACAAAATGCAATTTAAAAAAAAATGATGACTAATTATAAGCCAGTAAGAGTCATTTCAATTTTTTATTTTGGTAAATGTAATAAAAGTTTTAGGGTTAGCGTATAAAAGCTTTAAAATATGGATCAAGATGACTGAAATAAGTTGTACTCTTAGTGAAGTTATCAAAAAACACAGACACAATTGTTTTTTAAACGTAGGTAGCGTACTTTTGCGCAGCAGACCTAATTTTTTTAAATTTTATTTTTGACTAAGTATTTAATTTGAAAAAACGCCGTTTTATCTTCTTCTATCAATGAACACTTGTCTAAAGTTGTTAATCAATAATATAATATATACTAATTATCTGGCTAATTACATTATACGTGCACCTATAAATACGCACTTAATTGTTTATCTCATTAAATATGTAATAATTGTTATAGCTTATAGTTGCTATGGTAGTATGGTCTATGATGCATACCGAAATGCATGAGTTAAAAGTAAACAAGTGAGTATATATTATATATAACAAGTGTTCATTGAGGTGTTCCGTGTTCATTTATATGAGTTGTTAGATTGTAATTTATAAAATTATTATTCATAAACATTAATTGATACTAATGTAACATTTAGTTAATTAATATATTTAGTAAATAAAATGTAAATTTTATAGTTTATCACAAAATATATGTAATGATGTGAACGATTAATGCTTTACGTAATTGGATATACATTATTATTAGATAGACATGTAGCAATGGCTAAGTTATAAATTTGCAAAAAATGTTATAATTAGCTTAATAAAATTATTATATTTCTTATTTATACACAATAAAATTCTAAAAAAAGTTGAGTTAAAGTTGATTATATATCAGAGGTAAACTTAACGTACAAATAACATTTTATTGAACTCAAAATAGGTATTTAATTTAAAAGGAAGTCTGAGCAATATTTTTTTTCTCTTCCAGACCCACGCGCAACATAGATAAATCACTTTCACCTAAAATCTTTTTTTATGATTTTTGAATATCTTATCTAAAAGTTAAATCAGCTATTTTACAAATTATACAGGATATTTTTTGAAGGAATGACGTCTCAAGTCTAGGACATATTGATTTTATATTTTATTCGACTTAGTATTCTACTTAATAAAAAATAAAGTCAATCGGTGAGTGTCATTATTGGATGACTCTCACATCAAGTATCGCCTGTAAAATTAAATTATTCATTCCGAACTTGATTTATAAAATTAATTTGTATTCATTCTATACTAACCACATAAACCTATTGTGTCCCTAAGGCATAGATTGTTTATTTAAAAAAATTGAAAAAAAAATTTTTTTGTAAATTTAAATTATGTTTAAATTGTTTTGAGACGATATTTAGACAAATCCTAGGACAAATCGATATGTCATACCCTTAAAAATATTATTGCCCATCTCTTTTGTAATGGATGGTGTAATTCAACATCACTCAAAAACATAAAAAAATGATTTTGCGTAAATGCGTTTTTGATTGTGTTGCGAGAAGATAATAACAGTGTGCTGACATCCTCTTAATATAAAAATGATAATAACCACGACCTAACTATTAAGTATATATAGGTCCCCTAATCCTATCCCACGTAATATATAACTTTATTAGTATAGGTACTATAAGGCACTTTATAAGTTATTCTCTTGGTAGTTGGTAATTTTATTGATAATAAACTAATAAAGTAATTTCCCAAGGTAGCGACTCTATTGTCTCCACTATCTTTAGGTATTTGCGAGGGTATTTGTGTCAGATGAATAAAATACCTAATTTCAGATAAGAAAAAAAGGTAGTAAATATCTTTATAGAAATAGCCAATAGGTAGGCCATTAATATTTTTAATTGATCTACGTATGGTATTATAATCTACCAGTCTACACACTTTTTAAATATGAAGAACTTAGAAAAGAACTTAGAATGTGTAAGTGAAGAGACCTTGAGTTTTTCTCTTGGAAGTTGCTATATTCTGTGACATAAGGGACAATTACAGAGTCAGACCACTTAGAATTACAAACAAAACCTAATTATTATATTTATTATTTTATTTGTTATCCAATTCACCCCACCTCCTAATATCTTATTATTAGTGGTTAGGTACTGGTCATACACTACAATGATAAATAAAATAATGGTACATACTACAATGGTACCTACATTCCTAATAATGTTTTATAAAAATTACTTAGAGAATGTTACAGATCCATTAGATTCTGGGACCAATTTTAAAAATCTTAAATCTTATTTACCGCGATAACAGTATTAACAGTATGTATAATTTCAGTTTTGTTTCTTGTATTTTATTATTTTATTAGTAGGTAATGGATTATCATGCTACAAATTGTAAGTTGTAAGTTATTCAGGAACATACTTATTTAAACGATTATACAAGATATAAAAGATATCTATGATAAAACTTAATACATTAAGAGGACCCTACATGCATGCATTGTCACTGTTAAAATGTTTTAAAACTGTCATAACTTGCTTAAAAATTAAATATAAAAATAACCTGCGATCAATGATTAATTTTTACTTCTATATTTAATAGTATGTTGATTCACTCTAATATTAAACATGACATTGTTAAATGGATTATAACATAATTATAATTATGTTTTATAGATAAAACTGATTCTCATATAAATATTAATTTGTAGGTACCTTATTTAAACAATTATTTAAAGACTTTCCTAGTGAATAATTCATATACAATTGGAAAGCTGGTAAACACAATTCATTTTTATTTGTTGTTTTATTTATATTTTAAAGAAATTGAGTAGTTTAGTTAAGCAAAAAATATTAGACAATCATTCTAATGAAAACTTACCGTCTAAAAAAATTTAATTTGTTAGATAAATATTGGGTAGATACTAGACACCTATAGCTAGGTCGAAACATTAAGTTACCAAAGATAATCCAATTATCTAGTTTAATAACATAATAATCCAAAGTGTAGGTACCAGTGTTGGTAAAGCAATAATCGAAGGTACCTATTATTGAATTACTCATAAAACATGAAAGTTTATATATTTTCTTTAATATACTCTACATTTTTTATGGGTACCTACCTACTTTTAGAGTATTATAGATCAATGATTCTCAACCGGGGGGTCGCCAACAATTATTTTAGGGTCGTCAATCCATGCGAGAAAAAATTTGTTTCACTTAGAATCTTATAATTAATAGTAAGTGTTAAAATATATATATATATATTTTTTTGTATAGTCCGATAGTCGATAAAAACGTTCATTAATATAACTTTTTTTGTAAAATATACACACAAATAAATATAATAATAACAGTTGGTTCAATTTTTTAATGCTTACATTATAAAAGGGTCATTGAACATCTTGGTGACATTATAGGGGTTGCGAACTCAAAAAGGTTGAGAACTGCTGCTGTAGATTACAAAAAAAACATATAGGTACCCAACTTTTACCAACATTTAATTTTTTAGATGGGCATTACTTAATCAGGTAAGACCAAGGGTAATACTTATCCTATTGGATTAAAAGAGTTGGTATTAACCAAAATAATAGATATGTTTCACTAACCTTAGTTATTTCTTCACTTTCTAGAAGACTTTGTAATCCACTTTTAATTAATTGCGGACAAGCAATTAAATCAAATATAAAACATAATCCATCTTCATTTACCACTTGCATTAAGGTCAATTGACCATTGGCTCCAATACATAGACCTTCAAAATCTATACCAATAGCTGACTTTTGTGCCAAAATTTTATCCACAATATTTGAACATTCTTTGGTACTTGTTACGATTGCTTTAATATTGTTCAACATTTTTCCTTTCCATGCATCGCTATCATCATAGCCATTTGGTATTTTGTTATTTCGCTCAGTGTTGTCTGCAATTGTTTTCATGACTAAATTGTTAATTCTTTGTTTGAGAGATTGATTATTGTTTGGTATTGGTTTGGGTAGAGGCGGCGACATAGGGGGAGTTAATGGAACAACTTCTGTAGGAATTCTAGCGATTTTAACTTCTGGTTTCGGACCATTTTTTGCCAAAGTTATTAAATTGGATTGTGTGTCAAACTGTTCAGGATGCATTTTCAAAAATGTGAACAGATCTGATGGAGTCTTAAAAATCGGTGACCAAGTATTTTCTGTAAAACGCAAGGAAATACTATGGAACATTTGATCAGTTAACATCGGGCCTTTACATTCCAAGCATTGCACACAAAACGCTAAAAGACGTTTTGTGATTTCTGGATCAATTTTAGCTTCACGTTGGTCGCTATCATCATACATTTTACGCTCCAATCCTGCATACTCGGTAAGTATAATGGTATCTTCGCCAACAGTAAATACATCCGGATATTTCATCAAAAAGTCTCTAAATTCTTTAATGTGTAGACCAGATATTAACCGGATCTCTGGTGGCGCTTGAGAACGGTGTCCGAGTAGGCATCGAATTGGTACTTCAGTTCCAACTCCATATTTTAATAACTTGTCTTTAAAATAATGGACTGCTTTGTGGTTATAATTAGTATCTGATTGTACTGGTGCAACTATCTGAGACGCTGCAACCAGGTCTCCGTCTAAAGTGAATAACGACGGGTGCTGAGATAGGAATTTCTTTAGGCCTGACTGAGATCCGCCAGCGATCTGTCGCATCTCTTTGGTAAATCCTTTCGAACCAAATTGGCAACTTAGGTCGTGCAGGGACCGTGGAGTGCCCTTGTCTACCAATTTTTCGAAAAAGAACAGCAGCGTTTCGTTTCTCACCGATTCGTATTCCGAACTGTCCATTGTGTTTGATCCTGGTGGTAATTATTATATTATTGTTATTACTCCGCTATGTTGCCACTGGTCGATTTGATGGTATCAATATATTTTTTTATTTCCATTGGTAGGTAGGTAGTTTCTACCTAGGCTATTGTTGAGTAGACCGTCGGGCCGTCCTGAACAGCTTCGACTCGCCGAGCTGATTCATTTTCGGTAGTTTTTAAAGACGAGAAAAAATTTAAATTGAGGATAGGTAAAAACAAAAAAAAAAAATACTAACTTAGAAAAAAAACGTTTACGTTTACCTAAACTACACAGCACACACCGGTCACACCGGGCGATGGTACGACGAACGAATACAAAAATACTGAGAGTATTGGCTGGCAGGTGCGGCGGCGCTAGTGCACTGGCACACAAAAATGTTAAAACACCGTCGCCACTTGCCGAGTGCCGACGACCGTCGACGACGATTATCGCGTGCGGTGACGGCTGATGTGGCGGGTCGGCGGGTGGGGGTCGACCTTGAACATCAGCTATCGACGTTGGCAACTCTATGCCAGACAAGATAATACGCGGCGACTTCAACAACTACAACTCGTAATCATTTATATTTTATATTACTAGTTTATTGCTCTTATTAATTATTATTGTTATTTGGAAGATTTTCGTTGAAGATATTTTTGATTGATAAACATTTGAGTTTCGTGGGTTCTCGATTTCAAATTCGACCTCTCGTTATGGTGCCGATTCAATTGAAAATTTCCAAACACCGATGTCCGATACGATTGTTAATAATAGTATACACATAGTAGTAGTTGTATCGCATTTGACGGTAAGTACGGGTCGGTTTTATTTTTTTATATTTTGGTCTTGCACGCACTGCACTTATACGTTATCACTTATCAATCGCGTGCACAGAACGACAGACTGAACTAGTCTAAGGCCGTGGACTGAACAATAGAACATTCTCATTTTTTTTATAGTAAGTTCACGACTATGATTGTCCACTAGTCCGGTCTCCGATACTGCCTGTTTATATTTCATGTTTTCAGACTCCATCACCGTTTGACAATATTGGCGTCTATATTACTGTACCTGCCTACAACTTACTTACAACCAGCATATAATAAGATAGTACCTACTGTTCTATACTGAAACTGAACAGCGGTTTGGTCCAACCTTTAGAATTTACGTATTAATAAACAATAGGGGAGGGCTACCAAAAAAAAATATTTTTTTTTTCGTATTTTGTTTTATAACGAACATATAATAATATAATTCACAAATTATCACATAGAATACGTATTATTATTATTATTATTATTAGTCCCCACCCGACGATATAAGTATATTACCGACTGCCGTGGCGCCCTCTCCCACCGCATTAGTTTTTTTTTTATTCATCACACTTACAAACACTAAAATTATTAAATATATTGTGTAATATATAATATTATGTCTTTTAAGGATAGCCAAAAAAAGCCTAGAAGACCGCAGGTTGAACCGCCCTGCTGTGTAATACTGTAATATAAGTATGTATACCTACATAAATTCGATCATTTACTTGAGCTGTAATATTTATAAGCCGGTATCGATTGGTTTTTTGATACAACTCACCTATATTGCAACTGTATTATATTAAATATGTAAATCATATTATGGTAAAATTGTAAAAGTTAGAGAAAATGTATTATCTAACATAATATATATACATCTATCCTCGTATGTATAGAATGGTAATCGAAAAAAAAATATTATTCTTGTAGGTACTTGTACAGTTCTATAGTAAGTTGTGCTTTGTATTTTAGTGTGTAACTGTGTAAGTGTAATGAATAAAATGCTTGTACATATATTTGTCATCTACCATAATAAGTAATAAATAATAGAAAAAAAAGTTTACTGGAAAATACCAAAATACTTATTCTTATACTGCACTTGTACATTTGTACTTTGTGCTTATTTTAGTGTGTAATGTATTGGTAGGTATAAAATATATTTGTTATCTACCATAATAACTATCATAAGCCATATATTTTGATCCTATATTAATTGGTACACCAGAAAATTCCCCATTTCCGAACATCACACACAGTCATATATAGGTAATGAGACTGTTGCCAGTCTTTTGGATGACATCGTAATAATTGACGTTTCGTAATTTCGTTTCTACGTTTGTTTTTAAATTTTATATTTTTTCGCAGTATATAAAATGGAGTTGGAGTTAATAAATTCTAACAAAAAATACCCTCAGGTTGCGCATAAGGGATTTTTGTACAATTTCCATAAAGAATGCTCTAATTTTCTTCGTTGGAGGTGTTCAAAAAACAGCTCTATGAAGTGTCCATGTTTTTTGAAAACTAATTTGAACATAGCTAAGCCAACTTTGATTTCTGTAAATAACGATCATGTGCATGAATCAAATGAAAATTTTATTTCTGCGACTAAAATAAAAAATTTAATGGTGGAAAAAGCTAAGCTAACAAACGATTTACCTGCTCAAATTTTCGCGGAAGTGGTATCAAACGTACCCCGAAGTATACTCGCTGAATTGTAATAAATTGCAAGTAATTAACATCTTTTATGATATTATATGACTTTGTATGTATTTATATATTCATCGGGACTTTTTTTTCCTAGTGTGGGACTTTTTTTTCCGCGATTCGTATAGAATTGACACATTGAAAACGAAGTGGGAAGTGTATTATTAAAAAATGTGTACATTATATGGACGTTGAAGTGTATTGTATTTATATAAGTACAATATATATATATACGTTGTCTATATACTTTAGAACAATATAATTAGGTAGTATTTTCATCGAAACAACATTTTAATTAGGTAGGTATTACAGGTATAAAATTAATAGAAAAAAAAAACAGGGGAAGTCGCTCCGCTGTATGGTACCGAGGTGTCAAATGTTCCTCGTAATTACGTAAGGCACAGTACCTAATGGATGTGATAAATTTGAATTCAATGATAAATAATTGTATATGATGAAGGACAATACCTACTTAAAAGTTAAAATGTCTATAAAATAAATTGTGCCTATTCAATAATATAAATATATTATTTAAAAAAATTTATAGTGATTTTATCGAAATCTGAATTTCAAACGATCTTATAAAATATTTGTGACTATGTATTTTTAATATCTTTTAATATTACAGTAGGAACCAATATGAGGACCTTTAATCAAGTTGTCAAGCTTTTACATACGCTAAAATTTTATCTTTCGTAAAATGAAAATAAACTAAAAAAATATTGGTAAATATCTATAGATTATAGGTGAACAGCAGAAGCCAGTTGTAAGTACCTTTAGCACAAAATGAGCCAAAATATATGGGAAATTATAATATTATGCCTTGTAAATGCTAATATTATGAATATTTGGTGAAAATCTCATATCCCTATAATTATTTATTTTTTTGTAGTTTTAAAATATGTCAACATGATTTTATAAGTTTGATACAATTTTACATTATAGTGTATACATATTATTATATATTGTAACTAGGTATTTCAGTATTTGTTACATCTTACATGTGATATTACTATACTAGTATACTGTATTGATTTTAGTGAGTAGTAATATTGATTATATAATCCATGGTTTATGTGATCAATGGTAGTAAGTAGTGACAATAGATGTTCCTGTAGGGTTTGTAATTAAAATAAAAAAATTAAAATAAATTGGTTTTGTGCGCATATTAATTTTTGACTTTTTGAGTAGGTAATAACAAAAAAACACAATCAACGTCGTCGTAAACTATATTGCTTAAATACTTGGGGTTTTTTTTAATTTTCTGATTATAATTTAGGTATATTGAATAATGCTGAGAATTTTTTCTTTTGACCCCTCATTACTCAAAGTATCAACTAAATCCAATTTGCTACCAAGTAACACTCTCAATGATGAGGATGAAAGCCATTTACTATTTAGCAGTATAGTTAAAAGTTGTCAAACATAAGTTAGTAGGTAGTATACTTGCTAAAATAAATAAATAGAATATAGAAAATATAGAAAATATAATGGCATGATAAATATAACCTAAATACTTCGTACTTTCATATAATTTCAATTGTTTACAAAATAATATTAATATAACCCATTTAATATTTATTTATTTACAAGTAACATTTAGCAAAATACTGCACATTTATTAACCATTAGGTATACTGCTAACAAGTAACAAACTTTAATTAGATCAACATTTTAAGCTTATTATATGTTTAATTAACACAAAGTAATATAACTTAAAAGTACTAATACAAATAATATAGTTAAGACATATAATGTTGATTGATTATTTATTTCACCAACACAATATGTGTGTACTTGATATAATGATATGTAAACAATTTAAAAATACTCAGGTACAGTTATAAAATATACACATTTTACCGGTTAAAACTTGCAGTGCAAAATTAATTTAAATATTAACAAGTGTAATTAATTAGGCATGCCTAATACTGTGAAACACCTCTGAGTAACGGACACTATCTGTCTCCAAAATTGTGTCTTCTATTTTTAAGGTGTCCGCTATTCAGAGAGGGTAAATCTTCTTTTTATTTTTTATTTATAAGTACGCCTCAACTACCAGGGTTATTGGCGTTAAGGTAAATCTTTTATACTCATAAGAAGTTAATATAATGTTGTTAGTATTATAATAATAATAATAATAGTCGACATATAAAATAATTAATAATAATAATAGTAATGTTATTATTTAATGTTTTAACGATAATATAACTATCGAACTTTTTAAGCCCGTCTGTCATAATTTTTGACGTCATTCAGACATATTTTTCCAATATTAGTCAATAGGTAATTTATTTACGTCCAATTATTTGAAAGCTCTCGGTCATTTACCTTTACCTATGATGAGAAGACATACACCATCTAACAAAATGCACGAAATATTGGCAGCCATACAGTGATATTTTTGTCGTAATCTTATCTTATCGTCCCGTAACGAGTACCGTTGTTTTTTCATTATTCAAATTAAGATAAAAATTCCGCTTTTCGGCGGTTTCCCGTTGACTGTAGTGAAAATGTCCCCGTTCCCTAAAAATACCCGCTATTGGAAGGTGTCCGTTAGAAGAGGTTTGACTGTAGATATATATTATATATTCATATATTTACCTATAATTGTTGACAAATAATTTTACTTAAAAAAAAAAATACAAATAGGTACCCACTACTTAGAGGCTAAAGCAGATATTATATTATGTTATATTTTGCTAATTATTAAAAATTAGGTACCTACTTAGTCATAACTCATAAATCATAATGTAATATAATATATTATAATTTCATGAATATATAAATAGGTACATATCTATTTTATGGGATTTTTTTTAAAGTAAAATTTATTTCAAAGTTTTAAATTTGTTATTAATTATTAATACTTGTTTAATATTAATGACTAATAAGCAATAAATAACTTTATCAATAATAATAAATAGAGTTTATCTTAAAACAATTCAAAATCTACTTAAATATGAAAATGTCTTTGTTATATGTCTTTATTGCCTTTATAACCTTTATAACTTTTAAATTTTAATAGAGATATAAGTACCTATTCATTACTTCAAAATGTTTAATTTATGCATAATTTATTTTTAGAAAAATTAGGATGCATCCAATCCTATATAATTGTATACTGCCTATATTGTTTTGCCCATACCTTTTTGTAAGGAAATCAACACTCACTTTAAAATAAAATATTAAATCTCAATTAAAAGATTTTATTTTTGTACATAATTAGAATAATATTAAAACATACATTAATTATTAAATAATGGCAAAATAAAAATTATAACACTTTTTGCCTAGCATTATACATTATTGAACCATACTTTTTTTAAATTTAAATTTTTAATATACAGTTTAGTTAAGCCCTTGTTCCTCATCTTATCTTATTAGTCTAGAGTTCTTGACTTTAAAAACTATAAATTCCTATGTGTATAAAAGTATATTTTATAGTTTATTTATTGTCTTATTGATAAAAATTTGAAATATAATTATAATATTTTACGATGATAAATCTATAAATAGCCTTGATCTATAATAATTCATTTGGTGGCTCAGTCATAGAAGTTGACAACACTACTGTAGGTGAACTTACTGTTGGTCCTCCAAATGACGTTATGAAAATATTGACGACCGTTATGAGGAATATACCAACAATGACATAGTTTCCCAATTTAAATGCCATCCGTCGTTGCTCACAATGAGTCACATTGTACCGAGCACTTAGTAAAAGCGCTACGCCAACTAAAATCTAATATGGCCAAGCTCATTTATTAGCAAATCTAAAATTAACAATTAGTATAACTACCTGTAAAAATATGCTAATCAACAAGAGCACCACGCAAATTACGTAAAGGGCACTGCCATCGCTATTTTCTAATACATATCTTAGTTGATTTGCATTTGCGGAAAACAGTGCGACGTCCATCATACCATGAGACAATAACTTTTTATTTCTGTATAAATTAAACGCTCTTGGCGTATCTTCGTCCATATTTCCGATCACCTGGAATTAGATTTTTTTTATCATTACAATACTATAAATTGTCGATGCACTAATTTCTTTTCAGGAGGTGATGTGGACTACTGGTGGCTAAGTATAGCCAGTAGTAGCCGACTTATTATGTACCTACTACTAAGTAGGTTTACACGATAAATGGTTTTTCATGATTTTATAGTCGATTTCTGGATCGTTTATATAGTGATTTGGTTAGCTATATTATTCGTTTATTATAGGCAAGGATGAAGGAAGTGTCCTCATTTAGTGTTTCTATTGGAGTTTGAAAAATATTATAGATGCGTTATACAAGAATGATCGATTAGTTTAAACACGAGATTGAAGAATTTAAATTTTTCATTGTGTTCGATATTCTGTTGGTCTTTCGATATTAAAATTATAACATACACGTCTGGTTGAGTTTTAATAGCATGTAATACAACAGAAATATGAATAGGCATTTATTTTAATTTGTATGTAGTAATGATTGAAGGAGTCTTAGGTGCTCACTGCTGATAGCTGATTAAAGCTGAAAACTCATTTGGAATGTATTTGGGGAGTGGGGGCTGGAAGCCCTTACACTTACATTGTTGCTCATATTTAAATTCCCTTATAAAGAATATGTATTATTACGTCAATCAAGTCCTACTATTAAAAGTTAATTATTATCGCAAGTAGTAGTTTAATATATCTTTTATTTTGTATAAAAAAATATATCCACATTTTTATAAACTTATTGTAATTTATGTGTTAAATCGTGGGGTAAATTTATAGACCTCTTATAATCTAAAATGTAATCTATTTATTTATGTATATGCAATTCATGATTGTATAAATTAACTTTAGGCGTTCCGTCAACTGATGAGTTCTCCCCGCTTATCTATATGCATTAAACATTAAAGTCATTGTTAATAATAGTAAATGAATGAATCATATTATATAGGTACGATTATTATATAAAATATAAGTATAGATTGCATGTATATTAAAAATAAAAAAAATATAGAAAAGTAACACTTATTTAATCCGCTTTCATACCTCATTGGCTATAACGTTTTGGTCCGGTAATAAATTGTCGTCGTCTGCCGGGAGTCTTTTGTCGATTTGATTGTTTACTGATGACATTTTTGAACCGGTTGTATTATTGTGATCAGTCGAAAAATCTACTGCAGAACTACGATTTGCAGTAATGATTTCATTCATCTCTAGTTGTTGTATCTTAATGTCGGTCGATCCGTTAGGTGTTCGTACTGCCGCGTTTATTGACTTTGGCTCAACGGTCTTGCAGTTACTTGTGTGCACTTGATCTCGATCCTTTAAGACCTGTCGTTCGGTACTGCAGTGAGACGGAAGACATGCAGCCATTATTTTAGCTTAACTACTGTTCGAATCTAGTTTCAACAAGTGTCCACCTGTGGATGTGATTTCCAATATTCAGTTTGCATTTATAAAAAAACAATATTGTTATATGTTAGTAGGGGATTCCTATATTTAGTTGTTTTATTCAAACAATATCATCATTTATTAACCTTGAGAACATGTGTACTTAATGTTTTATATAAGGAGCAATATTACTTAGTGAGTAATACAACACGTTATTACTTATTAATTATTACGCGTACAAATGTATCATTTCATTCATACATTTTCTTAGTATTTCTTTATAATGCAATTAGGTACATAACTCAATAAACAATAAATAACCTTTTTTATATCAGGTGCGTGTTATTTTTATTGAGAACATATTTTATGATTTAATAAATTATTTTGTTTAAAAATAATTAAATAATGTATACAATATTATACATTTGTACCATTTTCAATAAAGTTAGAAACTCTAAAGAAAATGTGTATAGGTATATATATATTTTTTGGCTATTTATCATATTATAATTGTTTGTCTTCTTTAGATAACACAATACTTTTTATCTCAGACAAAATTTAACAGTAATATAAGTCATATAATATGAAGTATCATAATAAAGGTATAATTATGTATCAACATTTATTGATGCACAAAATAAATATAAACATAAATTATCGAAAATATAATAAACATTTATACGGTTTAAGCTTCTAGTGGAATCCCTTGAAAGCTAGCTCTCCCGTGTTTCTCAAATGGCCAAGTTTATCACTGTTTGATAACTTCAATCTGAATTAAAATACCCTGAATTGAGATTGGTATGAGTTATAATTTATAAATTCTATTTAAATATTTATGAACAATGATATTGTTAACGGATGCTTTCTTTGTACAGACTTTCAAAGTCTTGTAGGTACCTATACGTCCTACATATTATAATTCTTATTAAATGTTATCTGTTTGCGTTATACCTACGTAGTATACTAATTAGGCTATTGCTTGTATATTGTAAATTAGTAGTAGTAAATAACTTAATTATTCAGATAAAGCTGAAAAAAGCTGGTAAGTAGATAACCGCTCTGTTGTGTAGGAAGTACTATAGGTATCTAGTGGGTCACTGTAATGGATGTGTTAAATTGTAATTCAATGATAATAGTCATTGCATACTACTAACAACGACTCTGAGAAGAAACGTTCTATCAGCATTTATTTCTAAGGACATATTATAATTATGAATAATATTCAATATTTATATTGCAATTAAATCAAATTGCATATTATATAATAGCATTAAAAATCAACGATAATAGTAATAGTTAAAATGAATTTCGTTCAATATTACTACCAGCTAATATAGTATAATTAGTAGTTAGTACAATAATAGTTCTTGAATTTTTTTATTAAAATCAATTTTAGTTACCCTGGAAACAAAAAAAATAGAAGAAATATTATTTTTTAAAGGTGGGTTAAGTGGTTACTACTTTGCTGTACAGTAAGTGTCGAATGGGTCACTGTAATAGATGTGTTAAATTTGAATTCAGTGATAAATCATTGGAAAAACGATTCTGAGCGAAGGTAGTTTGTCAAACTATACTTCTAAGCATATTTTATGATATTTGTATCGACATTTTTTGAAAAAAAATAATAAAAATGTCTATAAATTGCTTTAAATTTATAGTGTAAATGATGAAATAAACATCTAAAGAAAATGTCAAGTTCAGCATCTACGGGATTTTCGTTTTTGAATTATTACAAAATATCAAAAATTGATCAGGGCGAGAAACAGTTTATTTATGGGTATATATATCCATTGTTGAAAAAATTTGCACTTTAAACAGTACAAAGCTCTTAAAGTATAATGTGATTTTAACAAATTGTTGATAAATTTGTTTGATTATACGTAGAAAAGCATGAGGAATCTTGTAATATATTGACAACCATGATCCAAACAATGTTTTTTAATAAAAATAGTGACCTTAAACACACAAACACAAAATACTCAACATTGTAAAACCAATACATTCATCGGTCCTCTCAAATCTAAAATTAAGGCCAACCATTTATTTTAAAGATATTATTTATCACTCTTCAGTATAATCACTATAATAATAACTACATAATTAAATTTGAATTTTATTATTGCATATTATTATTACTATCATATAACACACACTATTCAAATAATGCAAGATATTTTAAACGTAGGGTATACATTGGATAAATTAGAATTTAACAAACCAAAAAAAAGGCATATATTTTATTGTAATCAAAATGTTATTTAATAACGTCTTCTATAATAATTAGATTTCATATTTTTTTATTTGGCATCAATATTATGGACAAATGAACATAACAAAAACAAATCTAACAAATACAACCAGTACTCTTATAGGTAGGTGCACTTTAAATTATAATAAATAATTTTATTAAAGATAAAACAGTTATTTTAATTTTGAATCACACTTTGTCAAGTCTAGATGTTTAATTATATTTAACTATAATATTTAGTGAACAGTAGATATTAGTCAAGTATAAAAAATAAACTTATTATATATTATTCATAACAGTTCTTATATCTTATGCTTTGTATTTGTAAGTATACCATTAATTGATCAATAAATCAAAAATAAATCAATGCTAGGCCTAAATTATTGACAGATAATATAGTTAATAAACCAAAAAAAAAATGTTTAGTTTTATTTTAATGTAGCTAAATTTAGATGTCATTCATTAGCTTTGGACTTAGTATAGGTTAGCATAATTATCGATAACCTCTCTCAAAAAAAAAGAAATATAGTTACTAAAAATGTTGAAATTATTTAGATATGTATTTATACGTTGGAATAAACTTAAAATTAACAAGTTATGTACATAATTTATGAAGTTGTAAGTAAATCAGTGCATGATCAATATAAGTAATCCGTTATGTAAATTAAATTAAATTTCTTTTTAAGTAAATTTACAGCCTTGTTATCAATATTATTAACAGTTATATTATTTTAGTGTTAATTTTAAAAATAATGGTAGTTAGTAATATTTTATCTTTTGCGCTGTATACAAAGCGTACCTATTACTCGCTTAAATTATTACATTTATTTTATATTTTAATGTAAATATTATACAATATGAAATAATTTAAATTACCCGTATAATTTTATAAATAAGACAAATTATAAAATTCATAAATTTAGCTAGTGTTAAAATAAAATTGAATATATATACATATATTATATATTATATATATTACTCAAGTATATGTACTCAATTAATTATTTTTTTAGAAACTTAGAATTAATCTATAACCTTATAAAAATTAATCAGTATTTATACTAATAAATGAGCAACTATAACTGTATAATATGTACAAAAAATGATATTGTAAGTACCTATAAATATTTTATAATATCCTTATAAAATGTATTTCACAATAGTAAGTTTAATAATCGATACATAAATAAGTTACAATAACACATTTTATCGAGAATATGAATATGGAGATAAGTGTGTGTAAATTAATATTTGTTCATCATTCATGTGTGCATGTCTGTGGTTTTTTGATATTTTAATCAAGTATCCATCATCCAGGAGTACAGCAGTCAATAAATAGATATAATGAGCTAATACATTTTCATATGTATACAAATTTTTTTCAATTTTAAATATTGGCAAAAGTTACATTTATATGATTACATTTTATTTGGCACTCGTTAATATGTATGTAAAATATAGCATAATTATGCTGCATATAAATTGTCACAAATATAGTGCAAATAAGGAGAGGAGCTTTATTATGGGCCATTGAACATTTGCACCGTATAACCTACGTCTACGCCGGTTTTCCAAATGCAGATATTAAGATATTAACCACAGTTATAAGGAATATGCCGACGATAACATAGTTGTTGTACTTGAATGCCATTTTTCGCTCTTCGCAATTAGTTACATTGTACTGAATACTCAAGAGCATAGTCATGCCAACCAAAATCTAATAAAAGTAATTTCAATAATACAGACCACAAGTATTATAGAGGTTTATAATAAATTACTTAAAATTAAATTTACTTACTTGTAGGAGTATACTCATCGATATAAGTACTACGCAAATGTATGAAATATATTGGCCATCGAATGTCTCCAAGACATGCCTCAACTGATTGGCGTTTGCGGAAAATAACGCAATGTCCATCATACTTTGAGTTAAAAGTTTTTTTTTTCTATACAAATCAAAAGCTTTCAAAGTGTCGTCATCAGAATCTCCAAGTAACTGAATCAAATATAAATTATATACAACAAAATATTATTTATATTTAATAACGGGAATAAAATATTGTGTAAATTGTATCTACATTGTCAAAAACTCCATTTTTATTATTTATAGTTGGCTGGAGCTCGTTGTCTTCAGTGGGTTGAACAATTTGTGTCGGGGAATTACCCTGTTCTACACGAGGAGGATCGGATAAACCATTGATATTTTTTTGTATCTCATTGTAATTTGGAGAAACGGTCAGTTCCATAGTGTTCTTTTCTTTTTGATCTTTATTACTTTCAGGTACTCGACATTGTTTTAAAACCGATTTTTCCATCATGATCTATGAACTTTTCTGAAACAAACAAAACATATAGATAGTTTAAAGTATTGTGTATTAAGCTGTAACTATTTATGCGACAGTAAGTTTACTAATTTTATTTGAATAATAATATAAACGGTGTGTAGAATACTCTATATTTCCAAAGTACAGTACTTTAAAAGGATATGGTCAATAATAATTAATTATTTATATCAGTTTCTTAAATTACCAGCTCACAAAAAATACATCTTTATGGGGCAGAGCTGTCAACAGTGTCAGCTATCCATTTTTACGCCTACTCAAACCATGCCATATGAACAAACTGGGCATTTTATTTGTTCTTCAATAAAATTTAAATTGGCCTTAAAAACAGCAGCATTCCCGGCCCAAATTGAAATTTAGCTTAGCGGAGTTCAGTGGTCACAGGTGTGCCTTGCAAACTGTTTCTCTACTACTCACCTCAAATAAACTTTGAATACCTACTCATAAATTATAGGTAACTATAGGTTTGGGATGTTGTATGATTTAACATATTTTTTTGGCGAGTTAAAAACATACCTAAGTTTATTAAAAATCCGTTTCACCTACTGAAGATTAAAAATATTTAAATTTATTTTTCAACACAATTTTTTTATACAATAAACCAGTGCGTAATCTAGTATTTTTAAGTTTATTTTTTACCATAATATATTATTTACGCAGCCTACTTTTAAAGGCATATTTCGTTGTATTTTAGAGAATTTAAATTCTAACCCAAGCCTTAATAGTTGCTCGTCTGAAATTCGAATTTTAGAAATTTAAATTTCAGAATAATAAATAATTGCTTCAATATAATAACATTTAATCGCATACAATATTAATTTGTCTAAACATAAATCTATGCAGTTTTTCTTTTAATTTTGTAGATTTAAAATTTAGAATACCAAAACATTACATTTATATTTTATGTTGTTAAAGTATAGCTATGTATTTTTGTAATAATAGTCAATGATATTTTCAGTACCCGGAAGTTTATTTGTCATTGAAAATTAAAAACTATAACAACTGTAAATAATGTAAAATTATGTTTTTATATGACTTTAGTAACTATTACTGCACGAATTCGCGGGCACCAAAATGACAAACTGTTATAGTTTGGAAATATATAATAATACGTATACCTACCTAATATTATAAGTACTACTTTAATTCTTTTGTTTTCATATCCATGGTTAGCATTTTTGATGTATAGAAATAACAGTTCAGTCTGTGAACTATCACTATAGTTAAAATTAAGAATAATATAAGAGTCAATTTATTATACTTACCTATTAGGAGGTAGATAGCAATAGAATTAAATTATACAGAATTCACTACACTATTTTTTAAATATGTTCACAAACAGCGTAGTATTAACATTAAATGTTATACATTTATACAATTTTCGAAAAAAATGAAACGAAACAATCCGATACAAATAAAGAATATGCAAAATAAAACATTTAACAGCAATTGCTTGGATTGAGTTGATAAATAAATATTCAGAATATTCATAACTTATAAGTTATCAGACTTATTATTAAGATTTAATGTTATGAACGTCTAATGCATCAATAGATATGAACAATTACTGTAGGTATTTAATATATTAATTGATTTATTAAACTGGATTAGTATTGATAACTGATGAAAGTAAGTTGAATGCATTGCACCGTTAATTATATTATGCTTAGTATGAGTATAAGTTCAAAGTCTAGTCCCGTCATAACATTTCGTAGGTAGGTAACTCACAACTTACTATTCTGCAGTATTCTCCCCCTGTTTTTTATTTATGTTCGAATATTACACATACAACTAAACCAATTTTACATTAAAATATCTCTCCCCTCTACCGAAAGGTAAACGTCGAAATTGTTGATATTAATTTAAAATTAAGTTTGTATGAACTACAAATATGATTAAGTTACTTCAAACCGGTCGCCGCCTTTACGCCCTTCGATTGCCACATTGATGTATAATCTGTATGTTCTCGTATCTTATCTTTTTCACAATAGCGAGTGCCGCAAATTGCCGCTCATCAAACACTGCCAAAAATAAAACTTATAAGATAGACTCATGGCCAATGATCCCTAAATCGTCAAACCAGACCAGCAATTTATCACCTACCGACTTCTCCGATAGGTAGCGAATACCAAATAATCAATTGACAGTCGAAGCGAGTATAACAATCGTTTGGTTGCGTTCACCGAATAACAATATCACTTCGTCATCAAAAATCATACAAAAATTATCATCTCTTTAAATCGTTAATTCTCAATATTGCGACAACTCCAGATGAACTCATGATAACCTCTAATGAGGCCAAAACCAATGGAAATAATAATACAGAAAACTCTACCCCGCTGCATACTTTTATCAAAGATCCGTATTAAAATACACACATTTTTGTAAACCAATAAGACAAGTCATCAGAAACCGATGAGACCTGATTCGAATGCAAACATTTCACGCTATTCCTAAGACTAAAATATAAATTCAGTCCAGTCTTTTATAGGGCTGTAGTTACACATCTCAAAGTAAATAATGTTGATTTCACTCATAGCAATTTAAAGAAGACATATCTACGTAATCGTTATTTGCAGCCTAATACCTCCGACAGATGTAACCTTTGTTCAAAATTAACTTTAGGAAAAAATATTTGCTACCAGAGATATTTTTCATGTCTATCATAAATCAACTATTATACTGCCTAGGTCCCTCAACCAATTTCTTGTTGACTATGACAAGGTTGCACCTGGTGCAATAAATTTGGAAATGTTCAACATTCTTTGTGCAAAGATTAAAATTGAAGCTTCACACACACAATTTTGCTATTTAAATTTTCTCCATCCCCAATGCATGCTGATATATCTGTCTGTCTGACTTTCCACGCAAATAATAACTATAGTTCCCCTGTTGTGTTCGATGTAAAATTTTTGTTGTCTCATCTGTAAAACAACCATCTCAAGTGTCAAGTATATTATTGAATTCAGGCCAATGTATCTATTAACCAACTTACTTTTTCCTAAATTAATTATAGATTGTGCATTTTCAAATAAATCAATATTAAAAAAAACCTCAAAGTCTAAATTAAAAGTACCACCAACAATATGAAGAGCTGTAGTTTAAGAAAAAAGGTAAATAGCTTAAGTGATACAAATTATTATTTATTCATCCATTTCACTATGTTTCTATTTTTATTCGGAAGGATAATCCTACCCAAACATATAATATTATTGAATAATTAATTTAATTAATTTTTAATTTCAATTTTCTTAAAGATTTATACAACCTGTACTTTGGGGTACAATATGAGTATGTAATAATTGACAAAGACAGTGAACTCACTCAAAGGTGGCTCCAGGGGTCTCTAGTGGCCGCAACTCCCCCCCCCCCATTACGTATTTCTAAAAATTGTATACTGTTAAAAAAAATCCTAAAAATAAACATATTATAACATCGAAGGCACTCAGTAATAACTAATAACACTTCCCTTTTTTATTCCATTTAAAATTAGATTTTTCAAAATAAAAATAAACAAACATCTATTATTCATATTATAATCATTGTTTTTGGTTTTGTGTTCTATATTCTAAATTAATAAGTATGAGGTACGAATTAGGTAATATGAGGTGACAGGGAATATACTACTATAATGAAACGAAAAAACCTGTTCAGTGACTAACTCCTGCCTGGCGATCAGGATGACTACATTTATCAGTTATCAGCGAGGCGTAAAAAAAATAATATTTTTGCAATCAAACACAAATTTAAATATTTAACAGATTGTAGTAGTAGAAAACATTACTAAAATAGTAGTGATATTTATGAAAATCTTGTAATTTTGTAAAAATTGAATTTTTTTTAATTAATTACATTCGGTACTTTTCTATATACTACATAATATTATTATTTATTACTGTGTTCAAGTTGAAATTATTATTGATACACTCATGGGCCACGGCCGAGCGTAGGTGTTTTATAAGTACAGTTATCCGTGACCGTACAATAGCCTTACAAATATGTAATATAAATAAAAACCAAAAAGTTTTTTTTTACATTCAATCGTAAAGTAGATTAATTGTTTGTAAAAACACTGGAAGTTGAGCTTGAGCTATTTAAATGAATAGGGTAATAAATGAGTTAATTTACATTTTATGGATTAAAATATATAGTAAACTATACTAAATAACTACAAGAAAAAATAAAAGAATTGGCCATCACCCATCTGTAAATTTCTAAGATCAACAGTTCTAAAAATAAAATATGATTTGGTGAAGAAGCGCATGTTCAAAATTAAAGAAGAATAATGAATCTAATGCCAATGGTAAAATAAACAAACAAATTAAATATGGAAATAATAAATAAAATCTTAGAATCATACCCAAATAGGGATTTTTAATTAATTACTCAGGTAGAAAGTTTACTGATTTTTCATTTTTTTTGTTTTTGTTTTTAGTAAATGCATTTATGACAGAACTAATACATTGCAGAAACTTACAATATTACTACCTACTTAATTACCATTTAGGACTTAGGTCTTAGGTAACTGTTTCCTTTTTTTAAAATTTTAAATTGTTAAGACAATAAGACCTGAGGAATCTTTAAAATTCAAACTTTTCTGGTTGAGGGAAAAGTCCAGCGTAGATTGCAATAGGTACTTAAATAATTATATAGGCACAAAGATAATAACACTGCGTGCATAGAATAGAATAAATTACTAAAACAGAATACTGCACGAGGGACTACGTCATAATATCATCTGTAAATCTCTTTAAAATAATCTGTCCAGATACATCACACAAAAAAAATTCCAAAAAATCCTTCCACATCCCAAATACAACCCCGCTCAAAATGTATGAAATTGCATGATATGTTATTGTTTTTCACATCTATGTATCGTCATTCATCATACAACCGGATCGATGAAGCAGTTCTTAAACTCGTTTAAATTCGCGTATCGGCCATGTAAAGCTCGAAGTTTTATCTAAGTAGGAGGGGTGGGGAGGGAGAGTAAAACAGTGGAAGTAAACTGGTTAAATGTGATGACAAAACAATCACGAACGATAACAGTATATGCATAATATAGACATATAGTTAATCTACATGTTCTCGTGAACTATACCTAGGTATATCATTATATAATATATATTATAGTTTATAGCGTGCCACGGATATTCGGCGGGACTTTAAATGACTGGTTTAAAAAAAATATACAATCATTATAATAGAATAATGGGACGTCTTACAAATTCACACGCATCAGTTGTCGAGTGAGCATTTTTAAACTGTTATGCTGCTAATCTAGTCGCTTTACTATGATTAACTACCTATAGCCTTTAATGTTGAAACGTCGAAAAACATCGACGAGCGAGAACGGGGATAAGGCGATAATAAACTTATCGTCTTTAAGTGGCATACTGGCATACAATTATAATCAGACATTAAAAACCACAAAACTGTGCTGTAAAAAAAAATGTGCCGAAGATGAATTTAGAGAATTTATAATTGCTTACGCTTGATGCACATCGAGGTGACTCGCCTGCAGAGACGACAAATGCGTGCGGTACCGTCCTCTTAAAAGTTTTAAACACGGGATAGGTATTTATTATAATGATAATATTGTAAACTCGTGCGTAATTTCGCAACAGTACACATTAAACGATTATAAAAATATTTTATCATAATAATATACATAGGCATAGTATAACCACCTCGGGAAATCGTCATATTATTAGGTATCGTGTGGCGCGGAAAAATAAAACGAAACAAAATACAGCCGAGAAACTTTACCTGATTTACGATCGCTTGTCGCGTGTTTACCGTTCGGGTAGAGCGATGCCAAACTTTCGGGGACAAATGACTACTGTTATTGCCGCTAACGTGTTGTTGGCGGTGGCAAAAACCGAAAAATAAATAACAAACAAACGAATAAAAACAAAAAAACGTTTTACTAAAATTCTAAAGTAGTTTATTATTACGAAACAGCACGGGCGCTGTATACGAACGGGTTCGTCAAACTGCGCGAAACCACTGCCGCATTGTTATTATTATTATTTCGTTCAGAATCCGGAGGCGGACGTCCGATCTCGTGTTGGTCGGAGAATGGGTCACTTGTTAAACCCTTCAGTACTCAGTTGGAGGGGACTGCAGACTAACGGCAGATTATCAACATAGCTCCGAGAAAATAATATTGTGTTTGTTATTTTAACATATCACACTGTATATAGCGTACAGTGTAACTTACGAGTGTATAGACGCGCAGTAACTGAAAATATATTTTATTATTTCGACTAACGTAATCAGGATTTTTTATGGTATAAGAGTTCCGTTCTTGAAAATGTATTTGTGAAGTCGTATTTACCAAATGTTGTACATTATACCCGTGTAATTCGAAATATTACAGTATTCAAATAGGGAAATATTTTATGTAAAATACTTTTTGTGTTATGAGCGTTTTAAGTTTTGACATTACGCGAAATCGTTTTTCTTTTTTCGAGTTACAACATTACAAGTAACATTAACGTTGGCTTTGCGTACTACTGTACTTATAGTACAATTTGTAATACTTCATATTATTTGTACTGGTACTACCTATATATTATTGATTATTATTATCATCGTCGTCATTACAATGATTATGAATTGTTAATATTATTATTATAATTATTATTATTGTTATTATTATTATTACTATTATTGCTGTTGTTTTAAACACGCTAAAAGTACGAATTTGTTCGGCGGAAGCACAGTTATATTATTATGATAATTTTTAATATGTAGAATGTAGATATTATGTCCATGTGCGACTCGTGTAAATCGTGACTGGTAAACATTACGCATTTATGAGAATGTTTCTTCTCGTATCGTCGCTGTTGTGTTATAGTTGATGCAATCGAAAGTCTTAAGTTTAAATTAAAAATATAAAATAATATAAGGGTGTTAGGTACTTGAATAAATATTATTATTGATTATTAGGTTTAAATAGTCTATAAATATGAAAATACATATAATAACCATATAATCAAATATAATATGATCCATGAAATGTAGAACTATTCTGACATACTTCTGTACTTCGTTAAATTTTGGCAGAATCAATTTCGTCAGACTACAACAGTACCTATGTCCTATAATAAACATAATATTATAGAGAATCGGATAGTTCGAAATTATACTTATATTATAATTATTATATGTACCTATTTAATACTATATTATACAACATTAATATTGGATAGGTATAGGTATTTAATATTTTTTACTTACAAGAATTATAGTTAATACTTACCCCATACTAAGCACAGTGTCAGTATGATAGAATATTAGTATGATACAAAGCAGTTCATTATGAGCACATGTTTATATTTAAATAATGAGTTTTATATATGTTAACTAAATGCTTGATACACATGAATCAGGTGGCTTTTATAGAGCTATTTTCTGAGAAATTAATTTTGTATTGTCCGTACATTTTTAGTTTTTTTTCTGAGTCACGGCGACCCCTGCCAGATTTGTGTACTGTTCAGTGTAGTCTTATCTATTGTATTATTATACGTAATGAGTATTTAATTCTAGTGTTAATGGAGCTATATATTAATATTATATAAGGGAGTGTAACATTTTCATTCGTGTTCAAGCGTGGTTTATTATTTTATTTCGTGTGTATTTCCAGGTTGCATTTTCATCCAGGAAGATTTTGAAGTCTGCGGTTATTAATTAACTAATTTTTATTATCAAAATGTATGGGTCGATTATTAATTATTATTTGAGTAAGGTTTATTTATCAATTATCTCCTTTGCCCTATTTATTGAAAATCATTTTCGACAGATTTGAAATACTTTGAATTTTTACATATTAAATGTTTAATATAATTAAACATAATTTGGTACTCACCTACTATAGCTACTTTTAATCTAAAGACATACGTAATTACTCATTACCATTTTTTGTTATTTATCAGTAATCACTATACAATAATAATTTTATAATTACATTTACATTTTATTATTATTTATAAATTATAACTACCTATACTATTACGTACTATTTATAAATAATGTACGATTTGATAAACTTAGGCTTTAGATCAATGCTAATGCAATAACAAGCTCAGTACAAACAATATTTTATGGCAATCAAATTACATTTTCTAAAGGTTAGATTTCACCAAAGTTTTGATTTAATATTTATTGTTTATACTCAACTTATTATAGATAAATAACAAAAACAATTTAAAAAATCAAACCTTAGAAATAAGTGAAATAACATCATATACGTAGGTAGGTACATTACAAATTATAATACACAGTTCAGACTGTTCAGTTATAGATCAAATTAATGTGATTCGAATCAGTCAACTATAATTTCAGATATTCGTTGTAATTGGTGACTTATTTAGTGGAATAGAAAATTGAGTTTGTTTTTCGAAGATATTAAATTTGTTATTTGTAGGTTACCTACAGGTGACTGATGAGACCCATTCGGGTCTGTACGTGAAGTATTCTTTCCCACTTTTTTTCAAATGTTTTTTAATTGCGCAGGAGTCGTTTTTTATTCCTATAATCATTTTAGTTTTGTTTGCTTTTATCAGTTACACTGAAGCCGTTGTGTAGTGCAGTAATCTGTAACTATACAGGTGTTGTTGAAAAATAAGACAAGGTGTACTTATATTGAAAGAATTCACAGACCATAGTAGTAATATACTATATAGTATATCTAGTCAATATAGAATATAGATGAAATGTCTGTTTTATATTTGATGTAATTTGTTATATTTATTACGAATTAGCTGCCCCTCCAGGCGTTTCCCGTGCGTTTAAAAAAACATGTATACGCCATATTCTCTACTAATTATATTAGTGCCTAATGTAATGTGTAACCAATGGCAACCATATAAATTAACAAAAAATATTTTTTCTTCGTGTGCTTAAAAAATGTACGTGTAAGCTACCCTTTAGCTATCTATATAGGGGTTAAAAAATAAACTTTCAACTCCCTCCAAGTTTCAAGGACTCTATTAATATAACTTTTATTGATAACAGCCCAGTAGTTTTTGAGTTTATTAACTTCAGATAAACCAATATATCCGTTTTGAATTGTATAACCACTCGATTTCTCCACTTCGCAATTAAAAAATTGGAAAATATCAAATGTAACGCTATATAGATATATCGTGGTATTATAGTGTACCTCTCAATTACTGGGCAAATCGAAATCAGTGTACCCCGTTTTATGAATTAATTCGACTGAGATGGACAATCCACGTGTGGTGGATTAGATATATAGCACTTGATATAAATCAAACTTCAAACTATTTTACTATTTTACTAAACTTTTCTGATATCTCTAAAAACAATAATTTGAAATTTTCACAAAGTTGGTAAAGTAGTTATTGAGTATATAAGCTACAAAAATACAATCGATTCTCTTATTTGTTGTAAAATATAATTTCTTTATTCCAAGCTAGGGTAACCATTTTAAGAAAAAATAAAAAAACGAAGCAGTCGTTTCTTCTAACCCCGCCCCCCTAAAAAACTTTATTTTTACATTCACATAACTGTTGAGTACTAGAGTATAATCTGTGTCATATTGCGCACAATTTTTTTTCTAATTAGTTTACTCACCATTTTAGGTTATAAAACTGTTTTATTTATTTTGTTTCGTACATTGATTTCTTTTAAAGTTACATAGTTATAATATGGAAAACGGGATGAAAATGGGACAATATTCTAAAAACAGTAAACAAAGGATCCCGTTTGAAGTTTGTCAGGACAACAGGACATGATCGTCAAAAAAAAGACAATCAAGTTTTAAACAGAACTTTTAAGCTATAAGCGCTTCGATTTGATGCATGTTTTTACCTCATTTGCCGGAGTAACCAATGGTCACCATTTATAAACAATAAGACATTTTCAATTTCTTTCGTAAAACTCAACATTTTTCTGCAACTCATTCTTTGATCCTTTGCAATTTTTGAAATTTTTCTTTCTGTATAAAAACCTTATGAGGACTATAACGAACACATAAAAATAAAAATTAGCCAAATCGGTCCAGTTGTTCTTAAGGAATGGAATTACCAACATGCTGCATTTTATCAATTTTTAGTTTTTACTATTGGTAATAATTTAATGACTGTATTTTATATTTGATAAAAACAACCCATTTAACTATGGTCTATGTTTAAGAATGAGTAAATCCAGTGGAATTTACACGGGCAACGCCATACAGGATCAGTTAGATAGATAATATAATTAATGATATTATTATACACGATACAATTAATTTGAATGAATAAAATATTAACATTGAATGTGTTTACGTCACACAGATTTCTCTCAGTAATGTCGTAGTGACTGGTTAGTGGTCAAAATAATTATCCAAATAAGTAGATCTTAAAATTAAAAAACAAAAAACATATACTGCAGCGCCATCTATATGTACGAAGGCATAGCGGTTCCCGGCTAAACACGACGTGTTTTTCTTTAACCTTCGAATAGCCGAATCTGTCTTGTATGTTGATGATACGATTCCCATTTTCAATGTGTAATTTATATTTGAATATTTCCTAGTTGTACTAAAACTCATGTTTTTGAAAATTTGGAATTACTACATTGGAACAAATGCTGTGGTCAATAGTTTTGCGTTCAAAGGTAAAACATTTATGTGCATTGTGCAATGTAATTCGAATTATGATGTAGTTGTAAATCCAAGAAGATGTCGAGTGAGTAGTCGATTATAGTAACTACTTGTATACATAATTATAAGTTACAATTATTAGAACTAAAAAAAATGATAATAGTAAATATGGTTGTAACAATAAAATAAATAGAGAAATTTATAGCGTACAAATATATCAAAAATATATTAAACTCAAAAATTAAAAACTGTAAAAGAAAAAAAGTAAAAATGGCATATTTTACTTAAAATTTGTAAACCTTTACAAACGTTTACGCACGACGAATTTTCAAATATTAATATCTAGATTATACCTTTTAAAAACCTATTCAAACCGTTCTACGGTAAGCTTGTAGGTATTGACTTACAAAAGTTAATAACTTCCAGTACAATATTATATGAAATAAAAATATTATAAGTATAATATAGGCGCAATGTTTTTTTGAAAAAAGTATTCAAATCCACCGTATTTCCTACTAAATACGACAGTAGAAAGAAAAATTACTAATAGCAATAGAAAATAATATAATGCATAATAATCCTTATAATTATAGAACGACAGAAGGACACTCGAACCTATCTAATATATC